GAAAACTAAACTTCTGGATTATATTAAATTTAAAAAGCAGATTAAAGATAATGATAAAGATAAATTTAGCTAACATCCTGTCCCATTTCTTTAACCCCTACAGAAAAAGGCTGTCTGCGAGGCGTAAACATACGCTGAAGGTAAATAAAAAAATAAAAAAAGTTTGTTTTATTTTTTTCAAGGCAGGGTTTTACCAACATTTACTACACACTGTATGATGATGTCATCCACAGAGCTGTATGCTGACGGTGGCCGGTACTTTACTGGAGGCCGAAGCATCAACCAAGGCTGATGAAAGGGAGAAGTTTCTAGCTGGAAAATGTCCTCCTCTGGACCTGCCCTACGCCAGGGATGAGCTGCTGGTGAGAATAAACAGTACTAACAGCTGCTAGGTTTATTAAAGCCAGGCTTCAAGTTCAAACATGTCTCATTAACCCTAATATACCTTTTTTGTTTGTGGCAACAAAAAATGTTCATTGAATGTTTCCTCATTTCTCTAGGAACTTTGCAAAACACTTCACGAGCAAATTGACGCCAGTGAGGAGGAGAGATACTGCATTGAGTTCAAGCTGAAGATGGTCCTCGATGAGGTGAGTTACATTTACAAGTCAGTTTGAATGTGTTGAATGAAAGAATCTGACATAAGTCCACATTTACAGCAGTCCTTTTTACAGCAATATCCAACTTTGCCCCTAGAGGGCAGAAAATTCTGCCCCAGCCTATTAAAAATGTGGAGGATCATACATACTCATATGTTTACTATATGTTTCTGATAGCAGTCACTTAACTGCTCTTTGTCTCTACAATTACCCTGAAGGTCAAAGACCTCAACATCAAGATCGTGGATCTGAGAGGAAAGTTCAAGAGACCTCGGCTGAAGAAGGTCCGTATGTCTGCTGACGCCATGCTGAAGGCTCTGCTGGGCTCCAAACACACAGTCAACATGGACCTGAGGGCCAACTTGAAACAGGTCAAGAAGGAGGTGAAAGAGGAGGTGAGCAGCAAAAAGCTTTTATTTGTCTTTTATTTGTCTTTTATATTTTTTTTACATGTAATTACAGTTATTATTGGTAGTACTTTTATTTCACAGTAAGATTTCATTTCACAACAATTCCCATATTCCCTGTTTTTTAATGTGATGATTCTGCTGTATATAACCAAAGCTGGACATATGTGTTCACAGGACAAGCAGCTGCGTGATGTGGGCGACTGGCGTAAGAACATCGAAGACAAGTCTGACAGGAAGAAGATGTTTGACAGTTAATTTCCACCGGTTGCCATTTGATTTTCAGGACAGAATTCAGGTCTCACGTCTTTGTAACTGAAGAGTTTTATCTCATAATGCTTCATATCCAAAACTGGCCTGATGGCTGTAGTGGCTCGACTGATTGGACAGTGGTGGTTGTACCAGAGAAAGTGATATATAACGCTAACTTTAATCACAAATGAATGAAGTGGGATAAGGCAGATTATGGAAGTTGGATTACTATTTATTTTTAATCCTCTGGATTTTGAATTTGTCACTTTGGAATAAAACTCTTCAGATGTATTTAAATGAAGCTTCCCTTCTGCATTAGCCTTTTGTCTTTGTTCTGTGATGTATTTCTGTTGTACCTTAAAAAAACAGGACATGAGAAGTGAATCCAGATCACATTTCTGCATCACAATATTTCAGTATTTACAAACTACCTACTCAAACCTGACACGTTCAAATTTTCTCCAAGTTTGTGTTTTTTGTGTTTAAGGTTAATCCATTATTATTTTGTTTTGGCCCACATATTCCCTTGTTATTTCCATTAGTGCGTGGTCTAAGCTGCATAAGAGTGATGGAGACATTCGATAATGTGTCCTTCAGAATGTCTTTACTACAGAAAGATAAAAAAACATATTAATATTATGTTAAAATCTTAAAATTTGGTTATTAAAGTTATCTGCTAACAGTCACATCTCCTGTTTCCAAAAGTCATTTCTTGTCATCTTTTCTAAAAAAGTGTTCACAGCCCAATGTGATACTGTTTTTGTCTTGATTCTTTCACATTAAAGTACGTAGCCTTCGTGTTCATCTTGGTCAGAGTCTCGTTGAATTTGTAAATGGCAAAAGTGTTTCTTTTTAAGTTGCATGATGTGTTCTGGGACAACGGGAACATAATATCTTCCAAACTCTGGACTGTCATTATTTGTATTCATGTTGTGCAATCCATCCTTGAATATTTATTGAAATAATTGTTTTATAATCTGTTAAATGCAGATTTTAAAAAATTGAAATGCCTCTGAAAACAGGTTGAGATGTTTATTTTCTGCCTGATTTATTTTTCTTAAGTTACAGCTCCAAAGTGTAGAAACTAAAACTGTACTTGGATTAAAACTATATGAGGACACAAGCCTTTAAATTTACATTATCAATGTCAAACTGATCGTTTTATTCAACATTTTGAAACCAATCCAATGGATCTGTTATGCAGCTGGATCAGAAAAGGTGGGTTGTTTTCCTATCTGTCATTGCTGATGGATATTAGTGCTGGTTAATGATCACTGTTTTTTTATCTTTCAGGTCCAAAAAAACCCCAAAATGGCACAATCTGAGGTATGGAGATTCAATTTCCTGTTTTCCATTTTTTTTGTGTCTCATTTGTAATAACATCTATTCTGTCTTGTAGAAGTTCTTGTTGTCCTTAGGTAATAACTGACCAAGCAGCCACTGAAAGTTTTAGTGGGTCCAGCTACCCACTAGTGGTTCTGTAGCGTAGCGGTTATCACACCTTCCTTACACACAGAAGGTCTGAGGTTTCAGCCCCAGTGAACCATACACTTAATCCTCCTAATGTGAGTTGCTTTGGATAAACGTAAATGTAGTTTGGAGCCAATAAACTAGTAGCTCAAAAATCCCATTCCACCATCTAACAGTAGAGGGACCCCAATACTGATCTGTGGAGCATGTACCATAGTTTGAGAACCTTGGGTCATTTGTCAGTGTTACTTAACAAGTACTTAACTAAGTAAGCTAGAAGAACACCTCACGTCATGTCCACTGATGAGTGATGTACGTGGAACATTACTACGTGGAACACATTAATTCTCAGACTTTTGACACAGTCGGGTTTTTTTACAGTCTTTGGTTCTGAACCTATTAATTCTCAGACATTTGACACATTTGGGTTTTTTTACAGTCTTTGGTTCTGAAACATTAAACTTGAACTTACATCTGTGGGTAAGAGATGGTGTGATTGTTAGAGTCCTTACAATGTGCACTTGCTGCTGCACTCCTGGTATTCTGTGTGTGAAGTTTTAAATAGCTGGTACTGGCAGCCTTGACAATGTCCTGTGTATTTGTCATCCAGTTGCTGGTAGTAACTGTAGGTTATATTTGTCCTCTGATGATCACTGTATCATATCCTCAAACAGAGGACAGCTGCCCCTCACTCCAGCCAGAATTAGAATAAGAAAAAACAGGAGGGGGCAGTTTGTCTTCTGCTGTGTGCACTTTGTTGACCCCTCTGGTAACCTATGGGCAAATGCTGGATTTTGTTAAGTATATTATCAATGACACAATTTCCTCTTTTCTTCTCAGATGATGACCTTACTTCTAACCGTCTTAATCAGAACTTGGTGAATGTCAACCTTCAGCATTTAAAGGTAAGGAAATTATGAATAAAACAAAATTACGATGAAACTAGATTTCTTTTAAAAATACAGATCTTTTTCACTTTTGAGGGTTCCCGTCAGTGTGATTTAGTTGTGACGTCACCATTTCATCTCATACTAGGAAAGTGACAGGTGGCGTTCCAATTTATTTTTCCATCTGTGCATGTATTTGCGGAGAAGGTTAGGCTGAAGTGGTGACAGGATTAACAGGGTTTTTTACATATTGCTGTCTCAGCAACAGTTTTCCATTCCTCCAAGAGGTCCCCTGGCACTTCCAAGCCAGAGAGGACATGTGATCCCTCCTGTGTTTTAAGGTTCTGTCTTCTTCTCTTGTCAGCTGTGTAATCCAAGAGCCTCCAGCAGGAGGTGCCCTTCACCTTTTCCCCTCAGTGTCACCACAGCAGTAGTCTGCAGTCATTTCTACAGTAACAGTGTGCTAGACTTCCTGCTTGTTACAAACATATGAGCTACTATATACTTTTTTCCTTTTTAAACACAGATACGTTTAGTTTTTGATTAAACTAAATTTAATTTAATATGGTATTTCTGAATTTAACTACTATATATTTTTTTCCTTTTTAAACACAGATATTAGTTTCTAATTAAACTACATTAATTTAATATGGTATTTCTGAATTTAACATGAAACCACAAAAAGACACTGCAACTATAGTCCATCATTAAAATTACTCTAAATTTATGTATTAGGTAATAATAGACTTCCTCTGTGTGTGAAAACTAAAGAGTGACTTGTGTTGAGACACCCTGATAAAACGGCCTCGTGGTCAGCAGGAGTGTAGCTGTTGAACTGGGCTACTGAGAGTCTGTTAGAGGAACAATGGTGCTATCTAGTGACCCATCCTATGTACTGTACTTCCTGTCATATTTACACATTATCTGGTTCAGCCTTAATGTTGACTCCCAATTTTAATTTAGTTTTAGACTTTTTACTAATTTGAAACTAAGTCTCTGCCCCTATAGAGGGACTAGACCTATAGATCCATATCCATATAATAGTAGTAGGTTTTGACAAGAAGTTAGTTCATATACTAATGCATCTCTGGCCTGTCTTAGTGGGTGGCGACACGTTCACACACACCCACCCTTTTAACAACCAGATGGAAAGTGGCTTTAAACAGCGCCGTAGTGTCGTTTGGAGAGTGAATCAAACTCCATGTAAACATGCACATATTTATGAATGTTTTCACATAGTGAGGAAAGGCCACACGCTTTGCTCACATATCCAAACCCTGCAGTGTCATAAAGAAGATTCCAGAAGCTTAAGTCCTAGGCCTGACACCTCAGTCCATCTGGGTAGCAGAACCATGAACCCGAGCCCCAGCACCACACTCCCACCACTAAATTCCCAGCATGATTTGGACTCCATCATGTCGTCTGTCAACACCTCTCTCAGACATGTCACTGCCTTTCACTCAACCTCTTTTGCCGTAGTCCTGACCTGCAGAATGTGTTTGTCTTGTGGTGATGCTTTTTACAGGTTCACAGGTGGAAGGTGATCACTGGATAAAAGTTAGCAAAGAGATCATTCCTTTAGTCTTCTGACAGGTTCTGCAGGGCCGTTGTGTACACTGTAGTACAGCCACAGAACCACACAGAGGATTCAACAGTGATTTATAACATACTTATATGTTTTCTAAATTTAAATAAACACGACACACAATCTTAAATAACTGCATTCCTTCAATTTCATATAACTAATTGAGTTCAAATAAAATGCAGCAGATAAAAATACAGTATCTGAGCTGGTGCAGCTGGATTAATGGCTGTGATCATGTGACTGCTACTAAAATGTCCCTGTGGTCGCCAGAAATTTGTGATGTCAAAACAGGGTCACAAGCCAAAAAAGTTTAAGTAGCACAGGGTAAGATGTCCTGGTCTACAGAGACCTTACTTAGACGTGTTATAAAGAGAGTTACAAATACAGACCCTGGATTAGACTGAAAATGTAAATAAAGATGAGGAGAAAAGTTAGTGATGATATAGAAAATGAGCTAAAAACCTAATTTTTTCTATAACCTTTTAGATTTGTTGAGTCTGTAAAAATATCTTTAATTGTGTAAATGCTAATGTAGGCTAATGTATACAAAACAATCCATGTGATTGATATCAGAGACCTCTGATTGGCTGAGTGGATAGTGCTGTTGTCACTGACTCTCAGTATAAACACTGTTAGCGTGGTGTGTATGTTGTAGTTGTAGTTAATATATTAGATAACAGGTTCAGGCAGACCTGTGTATCTGTTTGTGGAAAACATATCCTGTCCGTACGCCACTGCTCAGAGATTGTTTTTCAGAAAACAGTCATAATGTAACATTATCCACATGGAAAGCGTTCCATCCTCTCTACCTGAAATCATGCCTGCATATTTTTACGGCAGCAGTGATAATATGAGATGACTCGCCGCAGCCAAAGAAAGGTCTGGAAACCTTTCTGAAGACAGATGTAGGGGTCAGAGCAGCAATCCAAGATGAAATGCTAACCAGATAGCCGGCAATGCATTCTTTTTATAGACTAAAGTAGTGTGAGCTTGTTAAGCACTTTATTTGGAGCAATCAGTAAAAGTGATATCTCTTTGAGGCACCAACTGAACCTGAGGGGTTTGCAGAGAGTCACTGAGCTTGAAGTATTGAAGTATTGTTTGTTAGGACAGGCTTGTCTCTGCTGCAGGGTTTTTGGACGTAGTTTGCATGTTGCTTTTGTCAATGGACAATTCAAACGTATAATCGACTTCCTACTCCAGGTAAACTTGAGTCTTTGTTAATGGTAGTGTGTGATGTGATAAAAAAAATGCATTCTTCCCTGTGTGTGTATCAGTGTCGTTGAAAGAGCGTTCATGTTATGGTTCTTCCCAGGATCAAAACATCTCTTAAAAATAGCACTGAATCATAGACCATAGATGCAAACAGAGAGCTGATTTAGTGTCTTGGACATATCTTACCATATCCTGTAGCCTGTACCTGTGTTGGACATAGATCCTGTGCTACTGTATGTCTTCTCATTAAACACCATATCAGAAATCTGTAAGTGGAGATGTTGGCAGGAGGGGGCTGCTGTTTGAGGTCCGGCCAAACCTAAAGGATGTGTCCTCCGTGACGGGTCAACTTCCAGTGAGCCACAACACCTTGGTGATACACATATAAGCTCACATTATATATACATATATATATATCTATATCTATATATATAGATATATATAAATATAGTCCACTCATTTTTAAAATATATTGGCAAAACTTGGCATTTTGTGACGTGTGAAACAAATTGATTGGTATCCAGTTTCTAGTATTGGGTTTTGTGAGATATAATTTAAATTCCTGCTCATTTGTGAGTTTTTTTCCCCCCACACATCAGTCAATTTCATTTCTGTATAAACAATCTGTACTTAAAACATTAGTCTAGTCCATGTCTGAAAACAACACCTTGCTTCCAGCCTTGTAAAAACAAAAGAAAATCGAAAGTCAAACATGATCAGTGCATCCACTGTTCAACAATAAAAGCCAGTATCTTAAAAGCATGGTAAAACCCTCTTACTTTACTGTTCTTCCACCAGCCCAGCCCAGCTCAGCCCAGCTTTAAAGTCTGGCCTCTGCTGGTTTTGTATTGAAGTCTCATCACACTTTTTCTCCCATTTATAGTTTACTCCAACGATGCCAGGCTCCTCCTTGAAGAAGCCTGATTCACGGGGGGACTTTGGCACAGGTTTGTGATATTTCAGGAGCATGAGGGCCGGTTGGTCTGAGGATACTGCATTTCCATAAACAGGAACTCCATATCCATATCTGAGTGCCCATATATATACACACCAGAGGAAAAGTTTTTTCAGCTGCCTCCCTGCCACTGCCACTGCCACTGCCACTGCCACTGCCACTGCCACTGCCCTCCTCCTTGACTTTCCTTCTCATCGTAGGTGAGACAAATCTCCTGTCTGCTCCTCTCTGCATGCCTGAGAGGAGTTGGTAAATTGACACGGACTAGCTGCATAGACTTTGCCTCTTTGAGGAGACCTTTTTGTAAAGTGTGAAGGTGTTGAGAATCCTGGGTTCGTTATTAAGTCAACGGAATATCCCTGCAGGAGTAGACGTCTGATTACTGCGCTCTGAGATCTAGGTGTTCACGTTGGATGATGCTTTTTTTTTTTTTTTTTTTTTTTGTTCATTGTTGTGGCTACATCCTATTTATTTTTGCCTGCCTGCGTGTGTCATGCTAAGGCTTTTTGGAAGGATGCATTTTAATTTCTTGTGCATTTAAAAACAGTTTGTTTACTTATCTATCTATCTATCTATCTATCTTTTTTTTTGCTTGACTTTTGAAACAAATGCTGCAGTCATTTTAGATTGAAGTACAGCTGAGGAGCTGAGCTTGGTGTTGGATTTATGTGGATTAAAAACAGTCCTTTTTTAAATTTAAGCAACAATCCTCATGAGCAAAATAACACATTAGTGATTATTTGTGTAACGATATGTGACCCAAGGCTTTGACTGTGGAAAAAAACAAACTTTTAAGAGTCTTACAGTGAGCTCTGAGGCTCAGCATTTAAGTATAGTCCATGTGTACCTGCTCATCTCCAGGTTCTTAGATTTTTTTCCCCGTAGAACTTCAGATCTTCAGACTAAATGTCAACCTATACCACTGACAGCTTTTCCATGGAAAAATAACTGTTGAAAGTTGATTCTGAAGTTGCGCATGGTGTTACAGATGGATTTGTTATTGACGTGTGTGTGTGACAGCCGTGTGCTGGCAGCTAACGCGCTGCCGCGGCACATTCTGCTGCGTGGATTCTTCTCCACGAAAGGAATTGATGTGTTAACTCCCACAGGATATTTAATTTTGCCTGCTTATCACGGGGATCAGTGGTGACATCTGAACCCAAACGCCAAACTTAGCTCTCTCCCACCACCCAGGCCCCCATCAAATGTTTGAATAGATCACATTTCACGACTCTGATATTTAAACTGGGAGCAGATTGTAACATCCTTTTATTCTCCCGCATCTTGGGTTGATGTGTTTTCCTCTTTTCTGTTTTATTTTTTTCTCATACAGGCTGTGAAGAAAACAAACCGCCAACATGTCTGAGTAAGTTTCTCTTCTTCAGTTTTTTCTTCTTGTAATTGTAAATGTAATTTTGACTGTTTTGCCCAAAATTTTTCCTCCAAATAAAAGACAAAAATGTTACTTATTTTTAGTAGTTCTTAAGTGAAATGCATTATTGGTCTAACTGTTAGGAATCTTTTGGTTTAGTTTAGGCATGTTTTTCATAGGTTAGCAGTTTAGCTTTTTGGCTAAATTTACTAGTTACTGTGAGAGTTTGTGTAAGATAAACTGTTCTTGCCAATGCCCATTTCGTTTAATCCAACATTTTAGGTTGTGTTGTTAGAACGAGGTAAACTTAAAAAAAAAAACAAAACAAAACAAGATAAGACAATTGAAATGTATTTGCTTAAATGTGGCCCGTTTTCCACCTGCCCATTAATTTACTTGGAAGAAATCAGACAAAAGAAATTTAACAACGCGTTTTTAAAATGTAGGAGAAACATCTACACCTAGCGGCAAAGGTGTTAAGTACAACTTGAAACATTAGTGAACCTGCGAGATTCCGTCACGCGCTTAATGTTCCCTTAAACTCGACGCCGTTTGTGCAACTGAAGGACATTAAAATGTAAATCGACGCTAATTGTTGCGTTAACGGCGGGAAGTTGTTGTTTCTTATAATCGAACTAAAATCCGTTGTTTTTGCTCCACGCAGAAAGAAGATGACTTCGAGCCGCAGGCATCACCTAAAGGTAAGACCTGGAACAGTTTCACTGTGAGTCTGGGTGTAAATACAGCTCCATGAAGATGACATTAAACCGGTGATTTCAATAGACTTCTAGTCATAGATAATGTGAAGAAAAGTATAAAAATGTAAGTGTTACCTTATTTCTCTTTTTTTGTTCAGAATACTCCCAACTATTAGAGATAGTGCACGTTGTGGCTTTTAATTTTAAAATATTCTCTCAGATATGTTCTGTATTAATCTCTATGTTTAAGGACAGAAACACATTCGACTTCAAGTATTAATTAATATTAAAAGCACGTTTTCATAACTGCAAACGCTGATAACGTCTAATGACTTTTTTCAACTGTTAAAATTATTTACAGATTCCAGGAATTTTGTGTTAGTTCTGGTAAATGCCGGTTCGTTAGCTTTATATTTTGCCCTGCTATATTCCAAAGAACAAATCCACTCACTTCCTGGAGGAGTTGCCGTTTTAACCTCTCTCTTCCTGTAGAGTGTGATGCTCTCTATTGCGGCCAGCTGGATTGAGCAGGAGAAGAAAGACATTGTAGCAACTAAAGCAGCCTACATAGCTGAACACTGCCCCCCACCGAGCATGGGCGGAGACCAGAACACCCTCATGGTGAGAAGAGACTTTTCTTCTGCCTCTATTTTAACACTGATGATAATCATGAAAATATAGTTCTGTGGATGATGGACGAAACATAGATGAAAGTCAGTAGATTAAATTCAAGTTTTGTCTTGACAAATATTGTACCAGATTAAAAATTGTAGGTATCATATCATGTCATGGGTGAGATTCTAATTTACAACAGTGATTGTTCACTAAAAACACCAAGTTGCATTGTTGTACATGCTCAAATTAAATTGGAACATTTTTATAAACAGGTTAAGGCCTGATTTTAACAAATGTGTTTGGATGTTTTTTCAGGAAACCTGCAAAAAGCTGCACGCCCTCATTGACAAAATTGATGAGGAGAGGTATGACCTGCTGGCCAAAGTGGGAAAGGCAGATAAAGAGGTACTCATACTGACCCACCATCATTTCCCTAATAAAGCTTTTAGCTTATTTTTATGAAATTTATTTTATTTTTAATTTTTTTAAATGTATTTTTCCTCATCAGTCTGTTTATATTTAAGTCATTTTGTCATCTTCAGACGGCAACATTGTTTTGGTTTACCTTCCACGTTAATACCACAAGGGTTCTGCTGTGTTACATTAAAAAACGCCCTCTGGTGGCTGGATTTCATCTTTTAACTGCTGTGATTGACACACTTAGATTGACGACCTGAAAATCAAAGTGGTCGACTTGGCCGGTGTGAAGAAACCCGCTCTGAGGAAAGTGCGTATGTCCGCCGACGCCATGCTCAAAGCTCTGCTGGGCTCCAAACACACAGTAAACCTGGACCTGAGGGCCAACCTGAAGCAGGTCAAGAAGGAGGTGAAGGAGGAGGTGAGTGTTTTTCAGGTGGACACCAACGCAGGTCTGTGGAGTGTGTTTAAAGTGTGCCGACTCGTTGACTGTGAAACTGTTGTGCGTCCTGCAGCCTGGCGAGGCGGTCGGTGACTGGCGTAAGAACATTGAGGACAAGGCCGACAGGAAGAAGATGTTCGAGACCGCTTAAGGGAAATAACCTTGCTCTAGAACTTACTCTGGGCTTTTAGAACTTTTTATGGAATTTATGAAAATGTTCATGGATTTAAAAAAATCTTTTGTTTCATTCAATCTGTAAGTTTCAGCTCTGTCTCTGTACATTTGTAAAGTAAAGTCGCAGTGACAGGAAGTTCAGTGTTTCTTCTCTCTTCCGTTTGGCTTTTACTGTTTTCTTTTATTTCCACAACTTCTTGATCTTAGGTTCCGTTTGGCTTTTACTGTTTTATTTCCACAACTTCTTGATCTTAGGGGTTCTGTTAGAATCCCTGTTTTGTTTCCCACGTTTGACTTGGTGAGGTATTCTGTCTTCGACTCTCAGATGCACAACAGCGTAGTTGAAGCACACGACACAGCTTAACCTAACTAAGAAGGATCTTTTCAAACAACAAACTGGGGAATCATTCCACTGGCCATAAACATACATTTCAGAGACAGTTCCTTTATTGTTAAGTGAACAGGAAGCTGTGAAAATGTTTCCTTTTTTTGACAAAATGGAAATATAAAAAACCTCCGGTCCTTATAACTGTTGTGAGATTTTCCCAGAGATTCCATTTAAGGCCCATAGTCGTCTATAGTCCGTTCATACGTGACCCCAAAAATAAATAAATAAAAGTTTAAGTTAAAAAGTATCTCGATTATGGCTTTCTTAGTTGTAACCATCTGAGTTGGCAGATATAGTTTTATATTGTTTGAATTTTAAAGCCGTGTCCTTTAAAATCCTGATTACATAAAAAATACCAAGGTTGGGGTTCCACCGGTGTTGACCACAAGGTGTCAGCAGTGGTCTTCATCTACGTGACTTCTAACACCGCTGCGTTTATGTCGTCATTCCATGTCGTCTTCCAACACCTAACGGTTCGTTTTGAACAGTACAAGCCCAGAAAATGAAGCCACACTTTACAGGCTATAATTCTCTTTATAGAATATATTAAGAGAGTGTTTTAAAATATGTTAAATGTAATACTTTAAACTACTTTAATGAATTTATTTTGTTTGAGTTTCTTTAGGTTTCATAAACATAGTGTCATAATCCCAATTTTTTCTTAAATGTAATGACTACACTGCTGATTTCTGTCACAGTTTAGGAGGTGAGTGGCAACTCCTCATTAATACATTTAATAGTTCTATTAACCTAACCAAAATGTATTTATATTACATTTCTGTCTCTGTTTTCTTTAGTTGTTTGGACCATCTGAATCATCTGTTCATTCAGGACCTACAGGAACTCTGGGTAAGTCCACCCTGGTTTTACTGAGTCATTGTTTTTCTTCTTCTTTTTTTTGTGATTTTTTTTGCTGAAGTGATGTGAGTCAGTTTTGGTTGTGAACAGCTTTATTTGTTGACATCTGTAACTAGTCAGTATACATTGATTATTTTTAATGTCTACATAATTTATAGATAGGTGTTTGGTGTCTTTGGTGTGACAGAACAAAGCAGAATAACTAATACTAACATGTACCTATTATATTTACTAAATTTTAGGTTTATTTTTACATGGATTATCTACAGAAGTATTTCCCCTTTTAATCCACTAGATGCTACTGTAACTAGCGCTAACCATGAGATAATTAGCTCTATGTACTGACCAGTAACATATGGAAGATCAGAAGATAATTAGCTCGATGTACTGACCAGTAACATATGGAAGATAAACAGGTCTGAACATTCTGTAGATTCAAAGGAGAGTGTGTTTGTGTGTAATTTGGTTGGTTGGTGTTTTAGAAACTTTCACCTAGCCTCCAGCTCTGAGGTCTTTTTCACTCTATTGCAGACCAGCTGACAGTCTGACCTGTTTCTGTGAAGACTGCTGACCACCACTAACCAGGCGAGAGTTATTTATGAGGTGAGCGGTCAAAGGATGGAGGTATTTCAGGGGTCCATTGGTCTGGTTGGGCTTGGAGGTCCTCATTGCCATAAAGAGGAACCTCCAGACACCCACCCAAACCCATATATACCCCCCACAAGTTTTCACTTTTTAGTCTGTGACTCCCTCACTGTCTCCCAGTCCTTCAGTCAATCTGTGCTGCCCTCGTCATCGTCACTTTGTGGGTGAGAAAGAAACTCTTTTACTTTGTGCATTTTAGCGGTTCAAAAATCCAATAGGTTAAACTTAAAGATGGCTTTTACTTTTATTTTTTCAAAAGATAATTATGAAATGACTTTAACACATGTATAAACATTGTAGAAATTGTTGCAATTTTAATTCGCAAATACTTAAAAATATAAAAAAAAGTGAGGAGGTCACAGTCAAAAAAGATTAAATCCTAGAAAAGAGACACAATGTGAATAAAGGGCAAAATAATGTGTATTTATTTAGAAAGATTATTTTCTGAGAAAACACTCAATTGTTGTCAGAAAATGCTAAAATCTCTCTCTAAAGTTCCAACTACAGTGAAGAGAAGGATAGGGAGTTGTTTTTTGTAGCTTCAATGGAAATTTAATGGAAGACTATGTAGATGAAACTACTCCATAATGTATTAATACATGTTTCTGCAATTGATGATTATTCATTCGTGTTAAAAATATTGTTCATTGCTCTGTAATATAAAAAAAACCCTTTAATTTATCAGGTTAAGAAACTCTGCTGCATGGACTTTTTAAAATGCTTTTTAAACTCCTGCGGGCCATACAAAATGACTTGGCGGGCCGCGTTTGGCCCCCGGGCCCTGAGTTTGAAACATGTGCTCTGTGGAGGAAAGTTGTGTCAAAAATAAAACTATTCACTTACTCCAGAGCTCATAAACTTACCTCATCATAAATGTCATCGTTGACCCTTGATCTTGAGCTAGGATTAGCTGTGACCTGATGGTTTGTGACACTTGAATCCAACAGTTTCAATTTCTTCCACAGAGAAGTGATGTAACCGACGCAGTCGTCAGAAAGAAATCAGTCAAAGTGTTGTTTCCTTTTATCTTCATATAAACCCGACACTTTAGCTGTGTTCTCGACATCAGTATTGGAACTGAATTAACTTTATATTTCAGACCAGTCAGTCAGTCAACTCTAGGTCAGTGAAAGTAGGAAAAATGTTGACGTGACATGAGCTGAAAAAGTGAGAATTCCAAACAGGCGTCTGATTTAGGGTCCTGTCACAGGGGTCAGAGGTCAAAGATTTATTCCTGATGTGAGCTGATGTTGGGTGTAACTGGCTCTGAAAAGGTCTTGTAATTTAAGATGACACACATATACATGTCTGTGTGCGTATATAATTACATTTTTACTACCGGTTTGAATAGTTTTACTTACTCGAATACTTTTTCTTTTGTCGTTACCAGAGTCTGAAAACAAACAGAAGCCAAGATGTCTGAGTGAGTATGACTTAATATTCTCAACATTCTCATTTTTTATTGCACCAACGTTTCCTCACCACTCTTTTTTATTTTTTTTTATTTCACAAATTTGAACTTTTAAAGGGGAAAGAAGATGACATCCAGCCGCAGGCATCACCTCAAGGTAACAAACTTTCTCCTCTTCCTCTTCTTCTGGTCCTGTTTCTCCTCTTTCTCGTCCTGCATTTTCTCCTCCTACTCCTCATTCCTCTTCATCTTTAAAAATGAGTTACAATCATAAAAAGAACAGTGATAAAGTCAACTTCCCTTCCTGCAGAGTTTGATGCTGCAGATTGCTGCTAGCTGGCTGGAGCAGGAAACTAAAGATATTGAAGCGGCCAAAGAAGCTTACATGGCAGAGAAATGCCCAACACCTGACCTGAGTGGAGAACAGGCAGCTCTGATTGTAAGAGAAAAATACACATATGAAAAAAAAAAGTTCCTCTCAATTCTGTGAGGAAAAATATTAAAAGATATACATGCATGTTTGTTTGTTTGTCAACAGGAAATCTGCAAAAAGCTGTACCAGTCCTTGGACAAAATTGATGAGGACAGATATGACGCTGAGGCCAAAGTGTTAAAGACAGACAATGAGGTAGAGACGTCTCTGTTGTCAGCATTGATATCTGTGCTGCAGGCTGTTATTCCATATATTTATTTAAAAAAAAAATTTCTTGGGGGAAAATATCAGCCATTTGTTTGCTGTATTTTCATTATTATATTAAATTAACATGTGTCCAGTATGGAAACATGTCCAAAGTCTGTCCTGGTGTCACTTATATCATTTGTTGGACCTCATTATATCATTAATCTGTGTCCGTTATCATCACATTGTGTCGTAAATATTTTTTTACTCTTTCAGATTGATGAGCTGAAGATGAAGGTGGTTGAGCTGGCCGGGGTGAAGAAGCCCGCCCTGAAGAAGGTCCGCATGTCTGCTGACGCCATGCTGCAGGCTCTGCTGGGAGGAAAACACAAGGTGACCATGGACCTGAGGTCCAACCTGAAGCAGGTCAAGAAGGAGGTCAAAGAGGAGGTAAAGCGTCATTCGAATATGTGTTTGAAAACACACTGTGTCACAGCGGGCCTCACTCCTGCAGCACCTGACGAACTTCACTCCTCCTTCAGGGTGCTGAGGCTGTGGGCGACTGGCGTAAGAACATTGAGGACAAAGCTGACAGGAAGAAGATGTTTGAGACCTCTTAAAGACTTTCACATTCAACTTTCCGTTTTCACTTCACTCTGGGCCGCGACACCCGCTCCAACATTTTTTCCATTTTATGGAATTGGAAAACCTTGTGTCATTAAATCAGTTGTTTTTTTGAATAAGGCAAAGCTGTGATTCTGTAGTTTTTTTCCCTGTTCACCGACAAAACTTTGGGGAGTAAGTCAAAATTAGTCAAATAGATGTAGTCAGAATATCACACTTTAGTTCTTACTCCCTATTCACTGCCGAATGTACAACTATTGTTTCTAAATATACAGTATCATTCTCTTCCTACATCTTTATATATTCTTGAAGTAGTATTATATCTACTGTAGTTGAACCAGTAGATGTCAGCAGAGAGCACACGTCCTGCTCCTGTTAGACATTTGTTTTCCTTTTTATAGTCTCCCCTCAGGTCAGTTATCAAACAGTTATTTCTATCAGGTCATAAACTTCTTAACATCTGGATGTGGTCACAATCCAAACCCAAAGCACACAGAAGAAAATCTTCAATGGTGAGTAAAAAAGTTCCCTTTCTCCTTTATGTTTATGATAAGTTGTAAATCTTTTTATCTATGAATACAATAATGAAATACAGTACATTATTTACATGGAGTAATATGGACTTTAAGCCATTTAATTCAGTTTAAGATAAAGGAAAATGTTCTCTCTTTTTTTTGCATCCATGGTTGAAAATTGAAAATCTGGTTCTGTGGCTGCTTGGAACTGATGGAACAAAATTAGCTAGGTTTGTTGCAAGCATTGATTCTAGTAGAGAGTTTTGTCCTCAGTTAAAACTGAAAAACATTTTGGTCAAATTCCACCACAGACTCTTCTTCTGTGAATTGTGCTGCTGATGGCGACATGATTTATTTCCTCCATCCTCATCTGACTCTTTGCCATAAAGGCAGTTGTTGCCTTTAAGGTTACAGTGAACTTTTCTGCTGAAGGGTTGGGTACCTGCAGCTGTTTAGTGGTGCAGCCAATAGGAGATGCTGAGTCCTCTAACTGTGATTGGTCAGAATTCTGCCAGGATACTTTTTAATGAAAAATTGTATTAGTTTTTTTTTTTAAGATCCCAAAACTGGCTATTTAAAAAAAAATTCTGCCAGGATACTTTTTAATGAAAAATTGTATTAGTTTTTTTTTTTAAGATCCCAAAACTGGCTATTTAAAAAAACAAAACAAGGATTAACCTTGCCTCCTGCACGCCATGACCTTACTGTTTGGTAACAATTGGTCACCGCGCCCCATCTCTGGTTTGAGAAAGGGAACCTGATAGTGTCCGTCCAGCGTCCAGTCTGTGGAGGCGACTTCCTGGGGCAGGAATTTATGAGGTTCCTCAGAGAGTTGTGCTGGTATTTCTGGAGCCTGCTGGCCCATTGGTCTGAAGGTTTTTTTTCCACTACCATAAAGAGATCTGACTTTTGTGCTGAGCGAGCGCTTCACACCCTATATACACTGTTAAATCTATACTGTATGGTAGTTGGCATTGTGCCCTCCTCCCCCTCTGTCCTCCTCTGTCCTCCTCTGTTCACCCGAGAGGTGAGACTCAGCCGTTCCTCTCATTTTGGCAGGAAACAAAGCCAGAGACACATCGAGGTCTTGTCAGCAGGTGGGAGTTTTGTTTATTCTGTAGAGATGGTTGAAAGTGTGATTTCAGATGTTTTCAGTGCTCGTGCTACAGATGTGATAGCTGATCCCTAAGGTTCTGTTCAGGTTTGGAGGAAGGAGCAGAGTTGTGTCAAACTGTTTGAAGGACACTGTAGGACATTGAGTCTGAGTTTACAGTAAGACTTTAAATACTTAAAACTGTAGATTTGTCAGATTGATGGAAGGTGAGTTGGTGCAAATGAATGACTTTCTCCAGACTTTTCACTGAGTGTGGACGATGCTGTTATGTTTTGTGTGCATATTATTTTCGAACATTTGGCGATGCATACCCTTGTTTTTTCACAGTAACTATCTGTGTTTGAAGCTAAACAGACAGTTTAATGTCATTTTAAAGCTTCATAATTAAATACCCCTCATCATCAAAAGTGGATTACCAAGTACAATGTACTAATCTGTCAGTAACAGGCCAAGTTATTTAAGATTGTTGTTTGCTGTTGTTGTATCTCTGGATTTAGTGGATAGTTTCTAAACTACAGGCCCTCTATCCTAATCTGTCATCTGTTTTTATAATGTTTTGAAGTCACTATAATCATAGATGATACAGTTTTGCACCAACTCCAGCCTCAGCTGCTGGCTTACATACCGGCAGGATGTGGATCTTGGTGTTAACGGCTCCAGCAGCGTTCCTTTGGCCACATTTGGATCCTCTGCTGGTCTGGGTCTGAGTCACTGTAAGATGTCAAACTCCAGGAGGAATGTTTTCTGACAACTGTTAGCTCCACGGTCTCACCCATCCAAATTTAGCCAGTTTGTGATCACTGGCAGTAGGTTTGCCGTGATAGACAAGGGTATCACCTTTCCTGCTGGAGGTGAGGAGGTCACCGATTGATCGCAAAGGAGGGACGACTGTACAAGTCCAATTCAGCAGAGTCAGTGAGCTGAAAGGATCCTTCTGATTAGGTTGAACTGATAGTTTTTTTAAATTTCTGTTTCAGTTTTTAGTTTGTGAAGATTGAAAGACGCCAATATGTCTGAGTGAGTATGTTTTTATTTCATTGTGCCGCTGACAGCATGACCTGCTCTGAATGTGGATTTTGTAAAACAGAGAAACTATTATTGTAGTTCAGTAATTAGGCAAAACTTTTTTCCTCAAGAACAAACAATAGTGACTAAGAGAAGTGATTGTCCTCTTCCTGTTAGAAACAGACCTTATGAGTGATACATTAGCTTAGCCTGGTGTTAAACACAGTACAACAGCTAAAAAACCTCTGGCTGACATTATAGCCATAAACATCCAACCAATAATTATTATGGAGCTCTACACTTCTAAAACGTTACAGTAAAGAAATTATGATTTTGTTGTTTTTTTTTAAATCAATTTCAGTCAACACACGTTATTTTTAAACAATTTTTTTTAAATAATAAAGACAACTTTAGTCACTATGATAACTGTGTTTTTTTTTTCTTTTTGTCAAAGTGGGAAGAAGATGTCATCCAGCCGCAGGCATCACCTGAAGGTGAGTACAAATTAGTCTTCATTTATTTCTATGTCGTTGATGCTGAATTGTAAACTTGGTCCCACCTCTGCGCAGAGTTTGATGCTGCAGATCGCTGCCAGCTGGATTGAGCAGGAGAAGAAGGAGATCGAGGAGGTGAAGGAGGCCTACATGGCTGAGAACTGCCCTCCCCCTGACCTGAGTGGGGACCAGGCTGCTCTCATGGTGAGTTTTGTGTGATTAGGATGTAAGTTGAAACATGTCAGATTCACTGTCGTTTTGTGTGGTTAAGATGTAAGTTGAAACATGTCAGATTCACATTAATGAAAGGAATAATACAGTGGTTTATGGCAGAATTGTCTATGACATATTAAAACAATGCAGTTAAAGATTTAAACATCAAGGTTCAACATATTAGTAATGTTATACTGAACTATATGTTGTGTCTAATGCTCTGAGTGAAGTAGGTTTTTTTATTTACTTTATTTACATATACTCAGACAAGATGCTAGAGATTTTGTTTCCTTTAAGTTACCACCATGACTATTAGACAAAAGTGAAACATACCGCCTGTCGATGTCAACAGGAAATTTGTAAAAAGATCTACCAGGCCATCGACAAGATCGACGATGTCAGATACGATGTCGAGGCTAAGGTTCAGAAAGCTGACAAGGAGGTGAGAAATGTATTATTATGATACTAGACCAAATAACTGCACCTGTGTCTAAGATTGTTTTAATAAAAAAAAATAAAAAATAGAAGTTCTTAAACTTTTGAATACAGAAATAATTTGCTATTCATCTCTTTAAATACACTGTAGCTCTTTTTTAAAGACTTTCTAAACATAGAAACTTTTTCTTCTGGTTCCTCTGCCTTCAGATCGAGGATCTGAAGATGAAGGTGGTTGAGCTGGCCGGGGTGAAGAAGCCCGCCCTGAAGAAGGTCCGCATGTCTGCTGACGCCATGCTGCAGGCTCTGCTGGGAGGAAAACACAAGGTGACCATGGACCTGAGGTCCAACCTGAAGCAGGTCAAGAAGGAGGTCAAAGAGGAGGTGAGGACGAGTCAACAAATTTCAGTTATCATATCTTAACAATTGGAATGTTGTTCCAGTCCAATATTTATTTATATATATATGTGTGTGTGTGTGTGTGTGTCCTCATTCCAACCTATTTATAAAGGTTTCATTTTTCAAAGGTATCTGATATTAAATACATGTAATATAGTCTTTGTCACTGAACTAGACTTTTCAAAGTCTTCTAAAATTATTCAGTATTAACTTTGTTTTAACCAAAATTATAATTAACTGCTATTTAACCTTATCAAATGAACCTTGATTGACAAAAACTTTTTATTTTAATTTTAAATTTCCAACACATTTGTTCATTGTGTTTTGGTCTCTCCAGCCAACAGAAGCTGTCGGAGATTGGCGTAAAAACATCGAGGATAAGGCCGACAGGAAGAAGATGTTTGAAACTTCATAAAACCCCTGTGGACTGGAGAGGACGACAGTTGGAGACACATTTTCATCCAAGGTCTGAGTGACTAACTTGGTCTCCTGAGGGACACACGTGAAGAAGAGTTTTGATTTTTTGATTATTTTTTTTGGGGGGGGGGGGGACTGGTTGATTATGGTCGTTGAAGAAGAGTTTTGATTTATTTTTATTTTTTTGGGGGGGGGGACTGGTTGATTATGGTCGAAAAAAAAAAGACTGAACAAAATCACAACAACTGCAAAAACAGAAAATGACAGAAATCCAGTCCACAGTGTCATCGTGTTCATGGAGAAATAAATATTTTACAATGAGGATCAACTTGTTGCTACTCACTGTGTTTAGTCCTTAATTCTGCTTTTATTCCCCCGACAACAGGCTAGATCACAGAGTGACTTATGTCACACAAAAAAAATCTAATAATAAAATTTGTAATCTCCTTTCTGCGTCCAGATGACAATTAAAAATAAAATAATAAATAAAGTAATGTTTAAGGTCAGAAATATTACTAAAATACTTCCTTTTTACTTTGCAGAAACGGTAACAATTACAGAACTGTAACTTCTATAATAACGATTAGTTCATAGCTTCGTGGTATATTTTAATTTCACCTGAACAGTAGTACGTACAGTAGTACTTCTAACGCTGTAATAGTAGTATAACAAGGGAGAATACTGAGCTGATTGATTTCACCCAGCAATTATAAAGGTCAAAAAGGTCAACATCGCTTTTGTTAGACAATCTTTTTCAAAAATCCCAGCGCCTTACCTTAAAGTTCATCAAATCTCCATCCAACAGCCCTCAGATAAACTTGAAGTCTTTTCACAGGCAGGGCAGTTAGCAGAGTGGGGCTGGGCTGGGGGGTATTTCAGGAGCACGTCGGCCCATTGGTCTGCCCAGGAATCCATTTCCATAAAGAGGATGGGGGTGATCTGCTGAGGCAACGCTGCCCACCATATATACCCTATTTCATTTTTCACTGTCTGAGTTTCTTTGGCAGTGACTTCTTTTCATCCACCCAGTGTGTCTTGTCCTCTGTCCTCTTCTTCCTCTGGTGAGAAATCTGATTTTTTTTTTTCTCTTGTTAAAATAAAGCAGCATATTTTATATAATTGAACAATGTAATTATGCCTTAAATTACACAAATTACATAAAAAATGCTGCAGAAATGTGCATGTTTTCAAACTGAAGCTTTTGTTTCTCCACATCCTGACACTTTGACCTCACTTTCTACCTGACATCAGGGCTTTATTCAGACAGACTTGAATTTATGAGACCTGTTCACCTTCACTCTTGCTCTCTGTGATCCCAGTGTGAGGCGACTGTAAACGGCGACAGCTGAAATACCAAATAGTCATCATGCTCTCTGGACACTGCTTTAAATGAGAAATGCTGTGAAAGTGGAGAGAATAATAATCTGAAATTTAAATCCTCAATGTCACCAAAGAGCGTCTGTTTTTAGTTATTTTTTTATCCTGTAAATATCTCTATGAAATATACTTAATTAAAAACTCAGTAATATATACATAAATAAAGTTTACTTGTGGTAAATATTAGATCATGCAGTACTACGAACAAATTACTTAAAGTTTAATATTAGTTACAAGCTGTCTGACGGTTCTTCTTGGTATATATGGATTTATTTTCTTCAAAAGTCAAAATTTAAATTTATATTTAATTGGGTTATTTTTACTTCATATTCAATTAAATCCAGATAGCTGACGAAATTAATCAATTTCTTTCCACTTCCTCTGACCACAAAGTTCTTCACAGCAGCAGATCACTGGTCAGAACGCAGGGATAAGAACAATCCTCTTGACCCTAATGATATTTAGTGGGATAATTTTTCCAAATTAACCCTTCACCAGATCGGCTTGTAAAAGTGTTAGGACGCGACACTCGATCCCAGGTTTCCCAGTTTAGTTCAGTCGACGTCGCTTCTCTTCAGCTGTGGCCTCAGATCGCGTTACGGCACAAATATTCCTGTCCCTCATCTTCATCGCCGTGGCAGAACATGCTGATCTCAGAGAACCTCACACTACCACCGCCATCGTCCTGACATGAACGATGGAGGGGGGAGGGGGGGGGGGGGGGGGGGGGGGGGGGGGGGGGATTCACTGATTCCCCCCCCCGTGTTTCTCCCCCCTCCTTCACTGTATTCCTATCTTTTTCCCTGTGCAGCCTGAAGACCTCAAAAAACAGCCAAGATGTCTGAGTAAGTAAATATTATTATCACTCTCACAACAGAACCTCACACATTTCTTTATTGTTTTAGGAAAATAAAACAATGTGTTATTTGTGATTTTCCAAACAGGAAAAAATTGACCTCGAGCCGCAGGCACCACCTGAAGGTAAATCCAACATTTCTTACAGCACCAAGTCAGCCGCCACAGGAAGTTAGCTGCAGGCGAACATCACTCATTTATTTACACATCTATTTTATTCCGTCCTGCAGAGTCTGATTCTTCAGATCGCTCAGAACTGGATCGCAACAGAGAAGAAAGAGGCCATTGCAGCAAAGGAGGCCTACATGGCCGAGAAGTGCCCACCCCCTGACCTGAGTGGGGACCAGGCTGCTCTCATGGTGAGAGGAAAGAAAAAGTAGTATAACTGGTTAAAACACATACTTAAAAACACTAAAAACTGGTATAGAAAAACAGTGTTGTCAAATATATTGCATCTTATGCTGGAAGTAAGTATTTATATACAAAATACTTCAAATCACAGTGACACGTTATTTAAAATCACATATAACTAATATAATACATACAAACAAATAAAAACAAATATATTTTTTTCTTATTCAAAGACCAAAGAGCATCAATATATATATATATATATTATGAATAAAAATGTATGTATTTAAATTTGCAACTGCCATAAATAAATTAAAAGCTTTTTGTACAAACAAAAAGTTTAAAACTTAAACATTTTTGTATTAAAAAAAATGCAGTAAAGCAGATACAAACATGGACAAACTCCAGTCGATCATATGACGTTTCAGATGCTTTTTATGGTTCCTAACTCAACGCTGTCTGACACCCTGATACACACACACACACACACTGACACACACACACACGACCCCAGCAGCTTAATTCCTGCCGCTCTTCTGAACATCTTCAGTTTCAGTTCACAGCTCCTATTTCATGACCTCATTTTTCAATTAATACACATGAATATAAAAATAAAAAATATATAGCCCTATGAATTTAAAAGTGTACTGTCAAACCTTCTGAGTTTGTATTCTAACTGTAGCTGTTCTGGAATCACACATTTAAAATATAGCTAGGAACAAAATACAAACTGGAAAAAACTGATCAGCAATATTTAAAATTAGCCTCAGTGACCGTCTGTCCGTCTCCATCTGCTGCAGTCACATCCGTCAAGTTCAATCCTATTTTTAGCTCATAATTATAGATGTTAAATATTTGGGTTAAAAATCGAACGTAGCTAATGTCACTAACACAGCGTGCTACTCTGTGATTAGCATTTTTGATTAGCGTTTGTGATTAAAAGTGCTTGATCTTTGCATGTTGACAGGAAACATGCAAGAAGCTCCACGCTCTCATCGACCAGCTCGATGAGGAGAGATACGACGCTGAGGGCAAGGTGCAGAAGGCCGACAAGGAGGTAAAGTTTTGTGGTGATGTCATCACTGCACGTTTCTCTTGGAGCAGCTGACTAACTCGCAGACTTCTCCGGCCCAAAGATTGAAGACCTGAACATCAAAGTCGTGGACCTGAGGGGTGTGAAGAAACCCGCTCTGAAGAAGGTCCGTATGTCCGCCGACTCCATGCTGAAGGCTCTGCTGGGCTCCAAGCACACGGTCAACATGGACCTGAGGTCCAACCTGAAGCAGGTGAAGAAGGAGACAAAAGAAGAGGTGAGTTTGGTGACTTTGTTCTTCTTCATCCCTACAGCTGGAGTAGGTCAAAAATAATGTGATCTTTGTAGGAGACGAGCCAAGGAGAAATAACAAAGGGAGTGATGTAACATCGCATTAGCCTAGTGCTAATAGCTTAACTAACTGAACAACAGATATTATTCAGTTAAATATGAGATGTTGATGTTGTTTCCTAAACTTAGTCTGTTGTCTGTGATTATAGCATTTTGTGTTTACATAAAATGTGATTCTAACAATTCCTGATGTGATCAGTTCATTTAATCTTTAATCTCTGAAATTGTTAATTTGGTTTTGACTTTGTTTGACCCACGTCTGCACAGATTGACCTTTACAACATTGATGAATGACTGACATAAGTTGCAGTCAACTACATTTGGACAATTCCGTTGATTCTCTCCACGTCTTTTCTCTCCGCAGCCTACAGAAGCCGTCGGCGACTGGCGTAAGAACATTGAGGACAAGGCAGACAGGAAGAAGATGTTCGAGTCTGCCTAAACCCGCCTCTGCTCTTTGTCTGTCTGTTTACATGAACTCCACGTGTCTGCATCTGTTGGTTGAACCCGTTGGTTTGTTAAAATGTGGGTCAGGTTGAGGAGCAGGTTAGCCGTCGGTGAAGGGTCACTGTTTGGGTGACAGAAGGTTCCTTTTTCTTTTTTCTTTTTTTTTTTTGCACTTTGTTTTTGTCTATAGAGGAGGAGAAGAGTGGAGGATGAAGAGTTTCCGCAGGTTCACGCACCAACACACACAAAACCCAAGTCTTAAACCGCACACATTCAGGGAAACACTGGCACCAACGAACCACGCTGATGAAATACAATAAAGTCTGTTGTGGATGAGAAAAACGTTTGGATTTGTCTTTTGTCCAGAGCAGATTTACACATTAACCACATTAACAGAGAGGGTGGGTCAAACAAACCCTGTTAGAAATATTGATTGATTGGATATATACAATATCCATCCATCCATCCATCGATCGATCGATCTATCTATCTATCTATCTATTTATCTATCTATCTATCTATCTATGTATCTATCTATCTATCTATGTATCTATCTATCTATCTATTTATCTATCTATCTATCTATGTATCTATCTATCTATCTATCTATGTATCTATCTATCTATCTATCTATTTATCTATCTATCTATCTATGTATCTATCTATCTATCTATTTATCTATCTATCTATCTATGTATCTATCTATCTATCTATCTATCTATATATATATATATATATAGACTACTACTAATATCAAATACTCAAGTATCTTTGTGGAATGTAGTAAATAATAATAATAATAGTTCATAATATATATATAATCATAATATAATAATCATAAAACTGGTAGAAATCTAACTTTTATTGGTTGAGTTTTCCCAAAATGTTGCATCTTAACATTCTTTAAATGTAGCACAAACACAAACTTAAGATCCATTGATTCCTTCAGTTTAGATTAATGTTTAAAGAAAAATGTGACTTTTGGATCTGGGCTATACAGTACAAATAGAAATGTTGCCATATAAAGTTAAGGCCCCCCAAATTTACATTGTTACAATGAATATTTAATATTTATTATAATTTTTATTCGTCAGGAAATCATGAAATCACAGGGTGTTAATGACTAAAAAAAAAAAAATCCGAAAATAGAATCAAATAGTTACACCTAATCAGTATTTATCATTACATGAAAGTCTATACTCCCAACTCTGCATCTCCTTAAATATCAGTGGTCGAGTTTGATGATGATTATGATTAATTTTTAAGAATAATAATAAAGAGTTCTTTGTCCCTCTAGGAGGGAACGGACTTGTTTTGTTTTTTTGCCATGTTTACTGACCAACTACAGAGGGGTGAGTTAGAGATGATGGGGTGAGATACACCCCACACCACGCTCCTTTTATGGTGCTCTGAGCTGTACCTCCGGCCTGCTGGGAGCCCAGACCCTGGACCCTCTAGAGTTTCCTCAGTGGCTAACTTTGTCCTTGCGGCGTCCTAGGGAATGTGAGGTGAAGATGCCTCTGAGTTATATTTACATCATGTGACTTCACCAAGGTTCCCTTCAGGAAAAGACATGTTTCAATAAGTCATGGGTCGTGTACAGAAACCCACGGGTCACAGACCTGAAAGGTATCAGCTGATCAGAAGAACTGATTCTGAAATCTACACGCCTGACCGAAGGTCAAAAAATAAAAGGAAGCTGCATTTCCAACACCGAGATATCAGATATTTATCTCTGCTACTATCAACTCTTGATAGCCAATTTAATAATATTAAAATAATTTTAAAAAAGGTAATGAAGGTTTGTGTTAAATCATCGCTCTATAGTCATTGGTTTGTGAATTCTGGCATTATGAAAAATTAAGAGGCATATAGACTTAGGTAAACCAAAGGTTGCAAAAAAAAAGTCTCAGCATTATATTTCATAGGAAAACAGTTTAGTTTCTCTAAAAAGCACTGACAGTTTTTACCTGTTTTTTTTTTTTTTTGTAAAGATACGACAAAAGTTTTGAATTTAGTTGACATTTTACAATATCGTTATACAATGAGAGAATGTCCTTTTTCTCTAAACTGAACGATTAAGTCTCATGTGTTGATGTGAAGGTTCAGTCAGTAGAGGGCGTATTTGTCCTGGTTTTCCGCTCTCAACAACAGCCCTCAAGAGTAACGAGAGAACGGGTTGACGCTCTCTGTAATGCAAAAAAGGGGTGGCGGACATATAAATTATTTTTATTTTATTTGGGTCGAAGTCGAAATGAAATCTCGTAACTTTAATTTTATGTACATTATTTAAGATTTATTGTGAATTAAATAATAAAATGACCATATATTTTTTTAGCAAAGAGCTTAGACTAAAGCATGACGTTTTATTTTTTTTAATTTTTTTAGGACATATAAATTATTTTTATTTTATTTGGGTCGAAGTCGAAATGAAATCTCGTAACTTTAATTTTATGTACATTATTTAAGAGTTATTGTGAATTAAATAATAAAATGACCATATATTTTTTTAGCAAAGAGCTTAGACTAAAGCATGACGTTTTATTTTTTTTAATTTTTTTTATTTTCGTTTTATGTGTATACTATATACTATGTATACGCTGTGTGTGCGCGAATTTTCGTTTTATGTGTATACTATACTATGTATACGCTGTGTGTGCGCGCGGATAAGTGAGAGAGAACGAGCGAGAAAAGATCTCGTCAATCAACCAATCGCACATTGGTTGATTGTGATTGGTTGACAGTTTCATCTGTAGCCTACAATTGGCTGCTATTGACTGCCCATATAAAGAGCCAAGATGGCTGCCATCAGTAACATGAATTCTGTTCCATTTGTGTTTACCGTCAAAAAAGAAAAGTTCTCATTGTTTTGAACACATTTAACGGTTATATTAAGGTAAGTTTGTCTTTTACGTTTTTGGTTTGCAACACCTGTACTGTCCGTTGGTTTAGTTTTTTAGCTAAGTTGTTTTAGCCTCAATCCACCTGGTACTTCCTGGGTCCATTTAAATGTTAGTGCAATATCTCTCTTTCCTTTTTAAAGTCATTTTGTCTTTTTTTGTTGTTGTGTTTAGCTTTGTTGGTCAATATTTTCAGTTTGATTCATGACATTTTTGCAAGTATTTATCCAAAACTTTACATTTTAAAGTGTGTATTTATTGCAGTGCCTGAGGCTACATGATGAAAATCACTCCAATCGTTTAACTATTTTTATTCACTATTTAAAAGAGACCCATTAGTCTGATAGAATCTTGCAAATAAAGTTTCCAAATTTGTAAGAACATTTGGAAAAGGAGCTTGAGTTAGGACCTGGTGAAATGAGTCTCCACCAGAATTCTAGACTCTTATCAGAAATGTTTAGACTTGAATAGAAGAAATGAATGTAAATAGCTTTGTTATTGTCATGAAAACACATTTTATTTTATTTCCCCTTCTATAATGCTCTTAACTCCCCTCCTATGTCATGTTGTCCTTTCATAGACTTCATAACTGTAGTCGTAGCAGGTCTTTAAAAGTGACCTAGGCTGTAAAGTCATCCAGGATTATTATGTCCAGCCTGCTGGAGGTCATTGTAAAAGTTCATCGGGTGCTGTTAAATTTAGTACATGCTAAAAATCTTATCAACTTTCTCTTGTTTTCTCTGACTCCCATATGGTTTCACTCAAGTACAGCGTAACATGCAGAGTGAACTCTTTCTTCTCACCACATTACTGAATATGTTGATTTATATCATTTTGAATTGAAACTCTCAGGAGTCCATGCTGCTCTACATAGGGTTTCTAACTCAGACACAGCCAGGGTCTTGAATGCAGCCCAGCCTCTCACCCATGTGGTTCCTATAGTATGTAGTATATCAGTCAGACAGTATGCAGGACCAGGTTGAAAAAACTTAAAATAAAAATATAAATGACACCTTCAATTCTGGTCATAATGAAAACCCAGCCATAATACCCAACCTATAGCCAGTTATCTTCCTACACACTTGTGAAAGCAAACATTTTAATTACTTTTACAGCAATAAGGTGAAGAGCAAAGCAGCTCCATGGCATTAGTCCACGGTGAGAGGGTTGCACAGAAGTCAACAGACTCATGGAAGTTGTATGAAAGACGCAATCAGTCTGCTGACTCATTAACTGTGTTAACGTGTTCAAACCCTCATCTACTATTGACATCATCACCAAAGCCCTCAGACAGGAGTCTCATGACCTAGTTTCCGTAGGCAGAACAGCTGTAAAAAAAAACATTGTAGTGAATGCCAGCCAAATGTTACCTGCATAGCTTTGTCTTAACATGAAGACATGTTTACACTACAATTGGGAAATATTGAAATTGAAATGAATTTGCCTTGCTCTTCCACAAAATGTGCCTCATGTAGGTGGAAGTGTGCCCCCCAATTTGGAAATCACTGGCCAAGACTATTTTACCATTTTATTTATGTCGAAAAGAAAGCAACCTCTATTAGAATTAGAAGTGACTTTGAATGACGTGTTTGAGAGTAGTTATAAAGATTAAAAAGTACTGGTGAGTTTAGTGACGAATATCATTAGGAAAAAGGAAGGCTTGTGGAACACGACTACTACTACTTAGTCAATATGTGTTACAATACGAAGATTAAAGCAGTTACTGACTGTTACTGAGATCAAAGGAATTAGATGATGTCACATAAGTAACGCAACCCAATTCTTATGACCCCATGACTATGAATCTTTTATACCTATCACTAACCTCAAGAGGCAACTCGGGTGCTCTACAATGCCACAGAGTCCTTTAGTGAGAATGAAAAAAGCAACCACCGCTGCACCCTCAAAGGTGGGTGCCTCTAAAACCCGCCTCTGCCAAGCACTGGCCAGTGCTCCTGTAGAGATTGTTAAACCACCAACGCCACCAAAAAGCCCAGAGTTTGTTCGGGTCATTACTGCGACCAAGACTGGCACAATAATCCGTAATCTAAGGATCCCTAGAGGTCCTCCATCTTCTGAAATTCTACCAACCCGTGATGATCTGATTATTGCTGAAGAATCCAAGAAACTGCACATGCAGGAGAAGCAACGGATCTGTGATCAGACTTGTGCCGAGGCTGAGAGAACGGCCAAGGAAATTAATCAGAAAATACTGGATCGAGCCCATTACCTGCAGATGGAACAAGAGTATGATATCAGAAACCTTAATAGCATTATAATTGGCGCTAAGTTCAACGCTCTCAATGAGGCCAAAGTGGCCGAAAACATAGAACTGCGAGAGAAATTCTTAAAAGAGCAGAAGGCACTGGATGCCCTGGACAATTTGACCAACAAAAAATTTTGGGATGTTATTGATGAGAGAGAGCGTCTAAAGCGAGTGTTTAGAGTGGAGCGACGGAAGGGCATTAATGAGCAGATCATGCATAATTTGGAAGTAAAGAGACGCATAGCTGAAGAGAACCTGTTGGAGGGTCAAAGGATCCGGGAGGTGAACGAGAAGAAGGAACTGCAGGCGATAATCGATAAAAAGAGGAAGAAGGAGGAAGATCGTCGCATGCATGAGGACAACCTGCGAGTTAACGACATCATAATGACCCAGGAGAAGAGGAAAAAGGAGCTGCAGCTTCTTGAGATCATGCACATGGAGAATGTGAGAAAGAAAATGGAGAGTGATGATAACCGCTTTGCAGAGCAGAAACGCATCAGAGAGGAGAAGGACAGACGTTACGACGAGGGCTTCAAGCTACTTGTAAAGGAGAATGAACGCTTAGCTGAAATCCAAAAGCAAAAAGTGAATAATGAGAAAATATGGCGTCGAAATTTTCATCTCCAGAGAATAAACAATGTTGCTGACCACAGACTAAATAAACTGAAGTACCTGAAGAGCACGGGGCTGCCTGATATATACCTTAGCAGTGTGGAGAGAAAGGCAGGCTTCATAAAGGATGACAGTGAAACTAACATGGGCAACATGTGGAATTCACGCATCCCTGACATACCCAAAATTAAAATATCTCATAAGTACTGGTCCTACATTTAGTTGGAGTCCAAGGAAAGGTACTGTATATGTCCATCGGAGGTAAGGTGGCCTTAGAAAGTCGTAGCCTACTGACCTAAATCTCATTATTTCTTTTTTCTCTGAAGATTAAAAGTGTCAAATAAATTCAGGGTGATCTTGTAAAAAAAACCCAAATGTGAAAGAAGATCAGGAATGGATATTAGACCAGCATCTCGTCAGATTTGTAGACTAGGAAGCAGAATACAAGCCCAGAGGCCAAGAGCAAGTCCACCGCTAACCTTACTAACTAACCTTACGTTTAGACATGGAACTTACAATGACCCACTAGTCCACAACGAGAATCTGACCTGAATTACTCTGTTAAAATGTAGTTAAATTAATTGCATGGAAACATTTGGCCTTGGTTAAAATTTTTTTTTTCCCCAAGTCAAACTAGGCAGGATTATTTATTAATGATAATATCAGACAATGTTGACATTTTAGAAATGTAAATATTTACTTGGTAGATGAACAAACTAAAAATTGGAATTTCTTCAAACCATGTGTCAATAAATATAACATATCCCGATTTGATTATATATTTAATTTAAAACAACAGAAAATAATTTATAATTTGTTAGAGAAAAAAAAACAGCAACATTCTGCGTGATCTCTTTCAATCAGAAAATTCCTTCTTTGTAGAATTCTGGTGTATGTTTTTTACACCAGGTCAAGGACTTCTTTGTGCAGTTTCAACAAAAAATACTCTTTTGTCTCTTAAGGTTCAAAGTTCTTTTATTTGTCATTGTGTTGGCATACAAGGGAACACTTGTTACCAGGTGGAATTAGAACAGCTGAGCTTGAGACTTCAGTGACAGTTTTCACATTTAACAAATTGGTGCAAATGTCTTGTTAAATTATTCATATCTGGTGTCTCTTTTTTCTGCACAGGAGTAAGAAGTTTTTCTGAGAGTCGTCACTCCTGCCCGAAAGATCAGACCACCTCTGCTTTCCTAGAAGGGGCTTTCACAAGTAGGTGTTTCTTCTACAGTTGACAGTGGGCTGGCTGGGACGATGAGGAGGTGGGCTCATGGTGGAGCTCATAGCTTTTTTTTATACTCTACACAGATATAAGAGTCATGTTTTTGCCTCCTCTGTCCAGGCCTGGTCTAAATTGTCTCATGTTTACAATACAAGCATGGTGAAGTTGAGCCTATTTCTTAACCTAACCATGTGATTAAGGTGGGAGTGTGATTGATTGATCATCAAATTATACTTTTGCATCCAAAACTAATTCCCATGCTTACAACCATTAGAGCCTAAAGATGATGTGGTGTAAGGTGGGGCATTCTATTGTCAACTGTTAACCAGAAAATGGTCAGTAAAAAGTTTGAAGATAATTAAAAAACAAAACATCATCATTTGGGCAATTAGCTAAAAAAAATTTAATAATATATTTGTTTAAATAATTAAAACAAAATGGTTTAACTTCTCACAGGAGTTAAAGACTTGAGATACGTATCTTGAAATACTTTAGTAATTAAAATCAAAAACCTATTGAAATTAAAGCTTCTGTCTGGGACCTGCTCTGGTGACCTATAGAGTTTAACAAACGTCTGGCAAATATCTGACAAACATTAACATCGTACACATGTTGGCATAGTAAAAACTTCAGAAGGCAAGCTGCTTCTGGTTGTCCAACTATTTTTCTTTCTTTCTGATGTGAACATTCATTAATGTTCAGGGACTTGTTGATATTATAAATATGTGTGCATGTTTTCTTTTCTTTTTTTTTACAGTTGTAGATATTGTTATTTTGGTTGTAGACCTAAAGCTATTTGAACTCATTTTATATGAGCAGCTGTTGCAGTGACAGTAAACATCTATTTATACTCTCTTTCTCTTTGTGTTCCACTGCGTTCTCCAGGAGAAGGCGTTGTTATCGGTGCCACTCAGTCTGTTCACTTTTAGTTGTTTGTTCAGGTGTAAACAAGAGTGGATGTTATGTTCAGGTCAGTCACGTTGGAAATGGCAGCTGTATTTTACGGGTCTGTATGTGGGGGGTGGCATTCACATTTGAGAGTGGCGCTTTTGTCCGGCGTGCCACCACGCAAGACTTATTTGAGTGGGTTACCATAGTAACAACAGCACATTGAATATGCAAGTGTAAGGATTTTGGCAAGAGGGTTGGCAACGACTAGAACGCTCAGTTTGGCAAAGTGTGAAGTTCAAGTTGAACAGAGATGAACGGCTCATCTGAGGAGGCATCATCCTAAACTGCCCAGGCTCTCAGTTTGATAAAAAACAAAACAAAATAAGATAAACTTGAATTAACAGATTCAAAGACATAGAATTCAAATATCATAATCTGAGCCTTGACATTAAAGGTCACTGTATTGATGTATGAAGCGTTTTACAGGGCAACAAACTAGTGTACAAATGTGCAGCACATAAAAGGCTCCAGAAGACGGCATAAAAATGTGTTTGACATGTGTTTCCATCCAAAGACAGAATCGTGTGTATGTGTGTGTGTGTGTGTGTGTGTGTGTGTGTGTGGAGAAACACTGGAGACCAAAACCTTCACATTAAAAGAACTCATTTCATCTTCTTTGTTTCTCTTTTAACTTTTATTTCTCTCCATGTCTGACAAGTTACAGTAAAGTTTCTGAAACCAAGGCACAAGTTTCTGTCCAATAAAAATGAAGCGCCACAGAAAAGAACACAGAGGCCGCAGTTACAGTGTTGAGAGGATGTTGAATATGTTGTGCTGTACAGTATGGCTTCTTTGACAACATTGTTCTCAGTTGTTTCCCTTCTACCTTCAGACTGGAGGAAACTCACAGAGCACTTACAGCTGTTATGATCAACATTTAAAGACGTTGGTAAGTTTTTATTTATTTATTTATTTTAAGAGTAAATGTAGTTAGAGTGTAAAGTATGCAATAGTGGGGGGAAAAAAGAGAACTGAGAACTGGTGTGTTTGTAAAATGTGTTGTCAATTGTTAAATATTTCAAAAATATATTTCATTCATATTTTTTATTACAAAAAGTGGCAGACTTAATATTTGTTCAGTTCCTGTTACAGCACAGACCAAATAAAGTAAACTCACATATGTATTCTCTCAATATTTTTGGATTCATTTATTGATTTCTATTTGTGTTCGTCGGGTTGAAGATGTGGCTCAGGACTGTGGCCTGAAACCATAGATATAATCTGACATACATAGCTGCAAAAAAAAAAAATCCAGTCACATCACAGTTGTTGGACTTTTATTCAGACTTTTGTTTTTTATGGCAGCTCTGTGTCCTTTGGCATACATTACTGCCACCTACTGGTTCAATATTCCATTGGAAATCTCCCTCACTCTTGTCCAGAATATTTGCAGTAAAAAGAAAAAAGAGAAAGAAAATATAAACAAAGGATTTAAAAAAAAAAAAGTAAAACTTTACAAAGATTTTGCCCATGACGACCATAAAGTCTGATTTAATTTCATACCTTAACAGGTTTTTGTTTTTGTTTTCTTTTCCATCTTTTATTTTCCAATAAAATGCTAATTTAACTCTGTTTCCCTCAAATCTGATGATTTTTTTTTTCTCTTTTTCTTGTGTGTCTTTGAGGGGGGGGCATGGTCTTCTATTCCCCCTAAGGGAAGACCACATGACCTGGTGTAAGAGGGAAAGGCAGTGAAGGGGGGGGGCGCAAAAAGACAAGAGAGAGAAATGTTGGGCCCTCCTGTTCTGGGCTCCTCAATGAAAACCACATGTTGAACAGAGGAGGGGACGGCGTGTGTGTGTGTGTGTTTGTGAGAGAGAGGGAGAGTGGGAGTGGAGAGTGGGAGTGCTAATGACTGAAAACCCAGCCTCCAGGAGACAGAGGAGCAAGTCTCTCTGCACCACTGACATTCCCAACAAACACTGCAGGGGAGAAACCCCGTCTGTGATACTCTGCCGTAAGTACATCTGTGTTTTTGTGAGCTCAACTCTCACACACATTCTGAGTTCCAGGAGTGAACGGAGCCGCGGGACAGAGAAGTACAAGGACAGGAGACAATTGTTCCGAGAGGCCACTGTGATCTGTTTTCTACCCCGGGAGGGAAAAAAGAAGAAGAAGAGGAGGAAGATCTTGAAGTAAAAGAAGAAAAGAAGCCAACATGTCCAACACTCTGCTGAGGAGGAACTCCAGCAAACAGGGTTTACAGAACCTGATGAGGTGGGTCCCCCCTCCCCAATAATCTGTGAGTGTGTGTTTCCGTTAACACAGAAATGGAAAAAACAACTGCTGGAGTTAATATTTAAACACAAACAAACACACACTGACACACTGATGTGGGCTAAAGATTTCATGGAGATGCATCAGTGTTTCCGTGAAATGCAACTCTTCCTTCCTAAAAGTGAAGATCAAGGGGATTAACTTCATATTTTCAACATGTGCACGAAGTGTGTGGTATGTTTGTGTTTGTGCGTGTCTCTCCATGTGTGTTTCACAAATGTAACACAACTTTCTGGCTTTTTAAAAAAAAATTTTTATGGAGTTAATTTATCAAACCAACCCCACAATTTACTGCTTCATTCACCGACTGCATGGTTAGAATGCACGGAAATAAACAGAGTTATTCATTTTCCATGTGGACAACGACTGCTGCTCCTGATACTTGAGGACGATGTGATTCTCTGAGAGGGGAAGTGGTGTCGGTGACCTGTGACAGAGGTGAAAGGTCACTTCAGTCGGTCTTTTGTCTGACTGTGGTTCTTGCGTGTGACGGCACGTCCTATCATTTTCAGAGGCGAAGTGTGTCTTTTAAGATCCTCTGTCAGGTTCCCAGTTTCCCTGTGGTTTTGTGATGAAGACAGAGGTTCATTTCGCTGCTGTGCTCAGATCGTAGGTCAGAGGGAATTCTTGGGATTCTAAATAGATAGTTGGGTTGTGTCAGGCCAGTGCTGCTGTCATAAACTTTGCCTAGGATTTGAGGGGACGTGATTGGCTTTGCCAAGCTGGCTGATGAAGTGAGGGTGCAAAGGTCACACCAACACTAGTACTTTTGTATGTGAATTTGAAGAAAGGAGTCCATTAAGTATTACAGCTGGGCTTGACAAACCATAGACCTCAGAGCTGTAGGTGTTTCACTTTTTTGTGGTTAATATTTTAAAAATAAGATCTAATTTATGTAAAAAGTTGAATTAATCCATTAGAAAAGTAACTTATCTGATAAATATTAAGTATATGTAATGTCAGTATAAATATATATGTTTAACGTATTAGCGGCCCATTGCTTTACAGCACTAAAAAAATCATTTGTGTGCATCTGTGTCGTCACGGCAATTTGTACAGACGGCTGATGTGTAAACGTGTGACTGTGTCATTGAGGTTTTTCGTCCAAGCCCATTGCTTTACAGCACTAAAAAAAATCATCATGTGTGCATCTGTGTCGTCACGGCAATGTGTACAGACGGCTGATGTGTAAACGTATGACTGTGTCATTGAGGTTTTTCGTCCATTCATGGCGACTCAGTTTTTTTATACGTATAATGAGTGAAGTCACAGAGTCAAAGTCTGAGTCAGAGCAGCAACAGTCATACACATGCATTAATAAGTGCGACTCGCTGTGATTCAGTCCACTCAGCAGATGGCAGATGGCATCTGTCGGGAAAACAGTGACATCACTGTCTGAACGAACTCCACAGAAATGCCTGATGTGAGCAGTTTTTTTTTTATATATATAAACTCCCACTCTTCACCCTGTGACACACTGTGATTTATTTTCTTTCACAAACCACAGCAGGTGTTACTACTGTCTCTGCCATATCGTAGGAGCCTCATATATACAAATATTTACGTGAGACCGCTGACTCAATTTAATGTTGCACGCACATACGTAGATAGCCATAGTTTTCTTCTTTTTTTTTTTACCTGAAGAATCAAGGCTACTTTATACCACAGTTTTTCTTTATTCTTTATTCAAATTTATCTTGATAAACATGTTATTTTACAAAATTGTTAAAGAACAAACATCTGCAACTATTGGGTTAAATTTTATAGAACATACATGGCTTTGTGAAAAATGTAATTTTGTTTTTTTAAGTTCTTAAAGTCGTCCTACCAACAAACCTTCCTCATCTTTCATTTCATTAATTAATGATTGATTATCACAGGACCTGCACCGTCAACTTACTGTAGAGAGTTTCTATTTAAACCCTGTGACCTGTCCTGGTCCTATCGAGGCACAGGTCAGGACATTACAGTTATGTCATTTTAGTTATGCTGTGAACAGCACAAATGTTTCCCGTAAGATTGGACTCAGTTCGTCACCTAGGCACAAATTCAGGAACCCAGTGACAATGGGAGACTCAGCAGCCTTGGGTGAAGGTTTGCACTTCCTGAGGACAAGGAAGGGAAACAGTGGAAATGACCTGAAGTAGCTTTAGAGTTTTCGGAAGTAAGTGATTTTGAATTTAAGTGTCTAAAACCAGCGGACATTACATTGATATGGAATAATCGGAGAATGACACTAATGTTGGGCTGTTGCCAGGCTCCTACTGGATGTTGTTGGTAAGTTTCCACTAAGATGTATTTTATGGTTACTTTTTAAGATCTGACCATGCTCACCTAAAAACATAACCTTTTTGTACTTTAGGTTTTTTTTTCCATAGACCTTCAACAATCAAGTTTACCAATGGTTGGGTTTGCGATACTCAGTTGTACTCAGGTGCGACCTATATATTAAAATATATTATTTCACCTTTGTTATTTTCACACTGACAGCCTCTAGAGGGCAGTGGTGCAACTTATACTCCTGATCAACTTTTTTTCTTCTTCTTCATTGTGCATTTTTTGGCTGGTGCAACTTATGCTCCAGAGGGAATTATAGTCTGCAAAATATGGCACTTGATTGATTTAGGTGCTCTGGTTCTGGTGGATTGTCAAAAGAAGACATTTCCCTTTGTTGTAAGTGAGAGGCGGCGTGTTAATAATTATATTTATGAGACCACAATCATGTAGTATCTGTTCCACCAAGTTTTTTTCCAAGACCACAAGCAGAACTGCAGGCCTCGATCTGTTTTTAATCAGTGCTTTCTGGGAGACAAACACCCCCTGGCCTCTGGTGATGTCATCCAGAAGGTATACCTGCTTGAAAACAAACTGACCACTTTCACCTCTGACCCCTGAATCACACACACACACACCACACCGGTGGGTTCTCCCAGTGTTTGTGATACAGGGAGATAAGACGCTGTGGAATGTTTTTGGTGGCGCTGGTGGAGGGGAGTCGACTGACGAGTGATGGGCACCGAGCCTCCCCCGCCCCCTGCAGGTTGTCTGCATTAAAAGACAGAGGGAAGGTAAACACAGCAGGGCTTCCTGTTTCCAGGGGTCGCATCTGTGCGAGCAGATTATCTCCCCGACAAGAGCCGTCTCATATGGCTGCCTTGACGTCATGTTGCATTGTGCTCGAGTGCCCGTCCAGTGTCGTTTTTCAGCGTGCAGGGTGGTCTGATTGACACACTATTCTCTGTGGTGTTGAAAGTTGATAAATGTGTCTCGCCCAGGTCTGGCAGGAGTGAGTTTGCAGCATGATTTTAATGTCAGTCTTTCTCTGTCCTGGATTAACCTACAATCACAGAGTGAAAGGCAACACCAGTTGGTGCCTATCTTTGCCCTTCATTTACAAATGAAGCACAAAGATCTTACAAACATGTTTCAATCGTCTGCTGGTGAATGTGAGATGAGTGTTTGTTCAAGTGAAATCCGAGGAAAAATTGTCATGAATCAACAAGTTTTGTTTTTATGTGGAAAACAGTAACTTAATATTGAACACCCAAGATTATTTGGATAATTGATGCATAGTGTAGACATAAACTGGATGCCTTGGCCTCGTCTTGATGTTGAGCTGGCTAGTGTAAGAATAAGTCACCTGATAGCTGAACATGGGCATATTATTTTGAATTGACATATGCAATAATAGTCTGAGTTTAATAATCTACTGACTAAACTGTGAAGACTTTAATCTGGGGTAAAAAAAAAAGTTCAATAGCAAAACATGAAAATTACAACCTTTCAGTAATGATAAAGTGTCAGTAATTTCACAGAAAAGAAGCTTTGAGTAAATTATATAAAAAGACCAGGTTGCATTATTCACCACTTCAAGGATTGGTACTTTTTTGCCTTCATGAGATCAAATAACGTCATTTAAATTTGTGTCCAAAATATTCAACCACACAGGCCACAGGTATTCTTTGAATCATGTACACAGAACATTCTAGAACTCTGAACTCTTTACCTCTGGTGTTTGTCACCTGGGTTGTTCTTGAAACAAAACAGTGATTCGTGAATAACCCGACACAGAACACTTTCCCCCTGTCGTTGTGGAAGGTTGCACACGTGTGTTCACTCTGGACGAGCACAGGTGTTTTATTGGAAACGGCAGCTTGTTTCTTCCTGTGTCCAAACAAACCTGCAGACTGTTCAGTCAGCGGTGGTCCTGTTGTGCTCTGTGTGGGGAGGCAGGCAAAAAAAAACAAAAAAAACCCAGATTACACAAAGGGTTAAGAGACAAAGTATGAAAAACCGGCAGGGCTGCAAATTGTGTGAGCAACATATGGTACCCAGTCGCCCTTTGAGATATTCAGTAACCATCAATGATGTCACATCCATTAAAAACCAAGTTGGATCTGTTTCAGTTGCCAAACTGGCTGCGACTGCCCTATTAGCAGCAGGCAGCAGCAGCCGTAGCCTTTAAAGATCACATTATGCGTTATTCTAAAAAAAACATTTACACAGCAGGAACATGCCCTTTGACGATAATAAAACATGATTCAGAAATGACTTAATGAAATAGATACGAAAGTGGAAAAAGAAGTACAATAAACCACATGAGCTGATTTGGCAAACGCTGGTTGTGAAGTCTGTCTCCCAGTGACAGACTAACCAAGTACAAACATGTCCGTCCCCTCTTTTTCATTATAACTGGTAAAAGTACAAGTAGAACCCAGCTGTAGACATTTGTTCCCCAATCAAACGTATAGACAAACCTTGAACTAGAACCAAACCTCCCCTCTGTCTGTCTTGTTTCCTTTAGCGTTATTTATACTTCAGTTTTCTGCTCTGACTTCATCCTGTTCACTGGAGGAGCATCAGCAGTCATGGAGTGAGGGCGGGGTTTCCCAGTCCGTTGGACGACCTCGTACTAACATTCAAACCAGTGGTGCAGTTGGTGTCTGACTACCTTCATCCTGTATGGTTTTGGACTGTGAGGACACAAGAGTGCCTGGGGTATCAGCTGCCACTAGGGATTGAACTAGTGAACTTCTTGCTTGCCTGGGGTATCAGCTGCCATTAGGGATTGAACTAGTGAACTTCTTGCTGTTAGGTGAAAGTAAGAACCACCCTTGCATCGTGTTGCCCTCCTAGACTGTCAATTCAACCTAAATTCTCAAGCTTAACAATGGACATCTTGATACTGACATCAAAGATCAACCATTAACTGTTAGGACGTACTTACTGACGTCAAAAAGATCAACCATTAACTGTTAGGACGTACTGAAGGTTGTGGGTTGTGGGTTCAATGCCTCCTAGTTCTGCCCTGGTTGTTTCAAGAACTAAGAACATGCACCGCTGTGGGGACCACTAACGTAAAGACAAGTCATACAGTTTCTTAATCTGTATTACAAATAGCACACCTGTTTAATGACATGACACAGTGGTTGTCTTGTTAGGTTCATGACCTGCTGCGCTGAATGACTCTGTGACTCTTAGACGGAAGGGAACGTCCGCTTCAATGTAACACATTTTTATAAGTCGAATCATAGTTTGACGCCACACGATTTGGAACGACTTCGTCCCCACGTCTCATTTGGTGACTCTTTAAAAGTTGCTCAATTCTGGAAACGGGTGTCTCTTTGTTGTCGTGTCACAGTGATTCAATGTCCTCCGCTGCCAGGACTTGTTTCGACACTGCACTGCAGTGACTTCATCCTGTAAACGTCTTCCCACCTTCCTCGTCTTCTGTCCTCAGGAGTCTAGCTCATTTTTCATTTCGAGTCTGTTATTATCACGTCATTCAACTGTGACTTACCCCCACGATGACAGCGTGTGCTTTTACAAAAGAGTCTTCGTCTTCCACTCTCTGCGCTGATGAAAAATTGCCGGACAATAAAGTTGAAGCCTGGACAAGTGCGGGCAGAGCAACGTTGTGTGACTCTGTGGCAGGTGCTGCAGCTTTTATTTGCTCAGTTGGCCTGACATGTTTTTGGATGTCGATCTCGGTTGCTGCCATTTTTTTTTTTTTTTTGAAGTCATATATCCATAACACCTTAACTTTGCTTTTTATGCAGCAGCCAAGCGTTTTCATGTGTCTTCTCTTTGTTAGTCATCTTCCCTGGAATCAGAACAAAAGAAAGAGTATCACTTTCTTATCTTTGCTTCCTGTACAGAGGCCCAGGATGTGGTTTAGGGCTTCGACTAATGCCAGTTGTCATAATCCATTAAAATGTTCTGAATGTGTTCTTTGTGTACAGATAAGGCCATTTAATACCACAAAAGACGTCTCTGAAAAAAGTCATTAATCTAAGTGTAGCTGAAACAGAAAGACTTGGAATCTCGTTCAGGGAACAACACAAGTTTAGAGACTTTAAAATAAATAAATAAATAAATAAATTATGAGGCCAGTTTTTAATCACGTCTTCCTGCAGTTGTTTATTTGGCGCTCTTTTTAATCACTTCTTCCTGCAGTTGTTTATTTGGCGCTCAGGTGTGAATTTCTGACGGGCCTCCCTCACTCCGTCCTCCAGGGCAGAAGGACACAGTTCTTCAGTGGAGGAAACATGCTCTGTCTTGCTTCTGGTGTCACTTTACAGAGAATTAACAAACAGAAAAAAAGGAAAAAGAGAAAAGAAAGGAGGTGGAAAAAAAATCCCCTTTTGAGGAAGAGAAAGTGTTACACCTGGCAACATTAGCTGATGAAGACCAGATGAGCCCAGGTTGTGTGTGTGTGTGTGTGTGTTCCTGATACTGCTATACTTGTGAGGACAACTTTTATTTTTGGAAAAACACTGTTGTTGTGGAGACATTTTGTGGTTCCCCACTTAATGAGAGGGTGTTTTAAGTTTGGACATTTATTTTGGAGGTTAGTTCAGAGTGAGGGTCAGATTACAGTCAATCTAAGGATTAGGGTTAGACATTCTGTATATTTGTAGTAGTTGAGGTTAGAGTAAGGAGTTAAAGAATGCAGGGGGTTTTTTTAGTTTTTTTTTTTAGTGTGTGTTTCTGTGCGGGGTGACAGCTTAAAAAATGGTTTTGATAAAGTACAGGATGGGAGAGAGAAGATAAAGCTGTTGGTAATCCCAGTCATTTAAAACCGTTCAGTGGGGGATTAATCATTCATGGAGTGAATCAGATGTTTGAGTCGGTGCCAGATATGGTTTGATTCCCACAATTCTTATGACAGAAAAACACATAATGACAAGGTAGAGTGAAGCTGCACCAGTTCAACATTCAACACCCAAGCTGCTGACAACTGGGTTCTTTTGGTGGCCGTTGGTTTGGTCTGTGGCCTAGGACCACGCCCACGACTCACCACCCAATCATCACACACTCGTAGACTCTAGAGTCAGAAGGCCCTGGTTTCCATATGACCTCTGGTTATTTACACTAGAATTTCAATTCAAATAGTTATATTTTGGCTTTTAGAAAATCATAAATATTTCTACTATGAGAGGCTGCATCAGTATCAATGTAACTGGAAGATTTTTATATAAATTTAAATCACATTTTTACCACAAATCTGAACACGTTCTCTATGTTGTGTTGCAAGCCTTTCAAAGTGTCTTAACAGACGTTGAGTTTAACACACACGGTCAATTACGTCATATGACTGACACACCCACCTGACCCAGGTCCATCTCGTCTTTCCACCTTGGTGCCTTCATCCATTTCCCGTCTCCTCCTTCGTCCTTCTCCTGGCCTGTCCACAGGAAGGACGTTAAGGTTACAGGAAGTTAATCTGATCTTAACAATTGTAGAACTTATCAGCCTCACAGTTCCTGAATGCTGAATAAGCATCCGTCTACCGCACATTTAAGTGAGGTCAGCTGACCTCTATCTGGACAAGGTTGGTGTGGCACCAGAAAAGAGTGGATGATGTAATTTGTGGGTGTTTGAGGGGGCAGGAGTCGTGATGTGATTGGTGAAAGCAGAAGGTGGTAAAGTTGTCACCCGTTTTTCCCCATCACCTCTGACCATCCTTCCTTAGCCCTTAATGAAATTTCTCTCCTTTGGACAGTTGGCCATTAGATTTGAACTCACTCAGTCATCTCTGATCTCTGCTGTTTGTTTTTTTATCTTATGTGGTTGTCCCTCGTCCAGTAACGTTGGGAGGAATGTGGAAGACATTAGGGAACCTTCAGTGATCCAGGAGCCAAATGTGTGTTATTTGACCCCTGAAAAGACACTTGGAGCTTGTTGACCTGTTGGTCCTCCATCGGGACAGACGAGGAGTCTGCTCCTTAAGACGTTTTTACTCACTCTGGCTCTCACTGGAAGTTGAAGCCTTCACCAACTTGAGTAAATACCATCATGAGAATTGACTGTATCAGGTCAATGATCAGTAGATGGATGTTGGACTGAATGGACAGAGTCTGTCACTCTGTCCATACACTGTAATGGGCAGATTAAAACATTTTAATCTGATAAATAAATTGCAATTAATAAGTTTGTTTACCACAGCACGACTGTTCTTCTCATTCTCCGCGGTGCACCAAAAGTGTCCGTGAAGAGCGGGCGTGGTTTTGTTTGACTGAACAACCACAGATAAATAAAGATTGATAGTGTTTATAATAAATAAGGTTGATGTCACTCAGACACGAGGTGAAAAGCACGTGTGTTTACTGTGCAGATAAACAGATGGTGTGTCTGAGGCCCGGCAGATGTTTCTCTGGTCACATCTCCATCTGTCTATGACCCAACAGACCATGATGAGTCAGGACTCAAAGACGTCTTTGTTGTACGACAGAGGCTGCAAATGTAATTGTTTCCTAAACACCGGTGATAGAAGGAGAAAATGGTCAGCGTGACGCACAATGGAATCCTGCTAAATCATTGTTATTGGGATATTTGAGGCTGTGGTGCGTTTCAGGTTTTGCAGTTGCGTTGAGGCCACCTGTGGTGCGTTTCAGGTTTTGCAGTTGGTATATTTATTCACCGCAGTTTGGCTGCGTTTGTCTGTCCTTTGAACTCAGGAGTTATTTTCACATCCGAGGTCTGGATGTTGAACAGCGCAGTGATTACTTTCTCTGCTAAGTCCTGCATTTCATCTTTTATAAGTCTTTGTTTGTGTGAAGGGTGGAATCAATCAGTTAATTAATCTGCCCTAAAATATGGTGGGTTTAAGTTTTAATAATGTGATGACAACAGCTTGAAAGATTTAATTTTTTTTTCAGTTGAAGTGACATATTTATCAGACAATTATCCGGATTTACAGCTATTACTGAAATTTCACTGAACTTGAATAGAAACACACTAATTCTGACAAAAGTACTACAGTATTCTCATTAAAAAAGAAAATTTTAAACTTTAGAACATTTTAAATCATAAAACTTTTTGAGGTTTTACAACTTTTTAAAAAAATGTAATTTCTGGGAGAGTACTTTGAAAGAGAGTTTTCCTCAGATACAGTACAAACAGCATAAGATCCCATCAACAATAATCATTTCCTCAAACTTTCCTATGTTTTAATAACCACTCGGTGTTCTTCCAGGCTGACGGCTCAGAGGAGCATTGAAGACGCAGAGGAGGTGGAGAGGGAGCGTCGGCGAAGAGCTCGGGAGGCTTCACAAAGAAGAAACAGCGGTTCCACGCCCGGAGAATGTTCACCAGAAGGTGAAGTGGCCACAGAGGAGAACATGTAAGTTGCACACAGCAAAAACTCTGAAAGGAGCGGGCCTTTATTATAAATGACAACAACCAGTGTTTGTGTTCACACGGATCGTCCTCAACTCACAACTGCAGGAGGAGTTTAGATGTTATGTAAACATCTGCTGTTCCAACCTACGTACCCTGGCACCACAGCACATGTCAGACTTCAGAAGAGTTTTTTTCACCCTCAGTATTCCCATGAGTGCTTTGTCCATTTGGTTTTGCTGGCAGACTACCTGGGAAACAGGCTCCATTTGGTCTGGTACCAGAGAATGGTGGTTTGTTTACGTCGTGAGACAACATGTCAAACAAACTGTTTTGGACTGTAAATACTCAAATTATCAATGATTTTCAAAGATAAAATACTCTCCGGAACAGCATGTTTGGATGACACGAACCTTTGGACCTGATCTGTGTTGATAAACACCGACACTTTGAAAGTCACAGAAGATTGAGGAATGTAGTGATTGAAAATAGAAAATGGTAAGTGTAGATTAGCGGAGACAGCGGATGTGGTAATGCTGACGCAGATCTGATCTGGTGAACGGATTGATTTTCCTATTTGGGAATAACAGAGTTGTTCTGTTGTAGTTTTTGAGCCAGGACCAGTGAACACAGGACAACAAGCTGCTAGACACCTGGACAAACCTAACCTCAGTGTTCTGTTGTTGCCGTCTCTGCTGTCTCCTGCACTCCTGTCTTTTGGAACGACTTTTATCATCAGATCCTCTGCTAACCAGATTTCTAAATACGGTTCTTTTGAGCATTGATCCCTTAATGGAAACTGAACTTATTCACATACACCACTGAGATCAGAAAAACGATCTCTTAATGAAAACTGAATTTATTCACATACACCACTGAGATCAGAAAGGAATAGGAGACAGAAGTTGAGACAAAATCAAAACAAACGATGGACAGAGAAAAACAATATTTATGGTCACACTGTTGAAGTTCAACAGCACCACAGTTCAAAAACATAAATGATTCACTCTAAATTCACCATTAGTGTGAATGTTAGTGTGAATATTTTGTTGTCCAATCATGTGACCCTGTGACTGACTGGTGGACTGATCATCAGGACAGTATCTTTAAAGAAAATAAATCATTGAAGGTTGTGCTTTATTAATAGTGACGTCTTCTGGCTAGAATTGGTACTGCACCTTCACATCATTAGACTTATATGTAACACATTTTGCCTTAAGGGACTTAACAAAATCCCCCCATTGAAATAGAAAGTTAATTTCCAGGTGTCAACAAAATTGAGACCAACAGCGGTTGTTGATACAGAGTCCATGATGCTCATGTAGCTGGTTAACGTCTGTAGTAGCATTTATTTGGCTCAAGCTAGTTTAGTCCAGACTCCATAAAAGAACCGTCTATTTGGAGTTATATGATGTAACTTCACTAAAGTCTAAGTCTGGCCTTTATCTAAGTGATGCAAACTTAGAAAAACAACCATACTTTTCACATGCAATCATGGGAACGGAGGAAGCCATTAAAGAGCAAAACATAATTCATCAACGTGTTTAAAGTCCAGCGACTTCCTGTGTGAAACACCCGCCGTGTGAACACACTGCTTTTGGGGTTGAAACCTCAGGTTTACAAGAGTGTCATCATTTTCCCAGCTGTAGAACGTGAAGCCCACCGCGCTGCCGTGACCCCTCTCTGCCCGCTGTTACACCTCCACTTTACAGCCATGTACGGTGGTCTGCTCGCTCAGAACAAATGTTTCCATCGGGAAAAGACACAAACAGCGTTTTGCAACTCCCTCAACTGTCGTGTTGATGTGAAGACAAACACGCAGCTGCCTACTCATTACACAACTGCCAAAGAATGTTTACTGCCAGCACATCCCAGAGGAAAAGTACCACCGTGTCAAAGCGTGTGGGGTTTGAGCGGACTTATAATTTTGGACTTAATTACAGCCTGCGCTGCATAACACCTTATCCTCCATTACATCACAGCCTCAGCTGCTTTTTAGTCTTCCATCGCTGACTCCACGTGACGATGCTGGAGGCTTGCTATTAGGCCCTTCTGCAAGGTCAAAGGTCGTTTTACTACTGTTCTTCTGCAAGGTCAAAGGTCGTTTTACTTACTCGACAAGTTTTCAAAAGCTCAGGTGAAATAATTCTCGTTGCACTTTTTGCATCCTTTAAAAACATGCACCTAAGGCTGTGTTCCTGCTCATGGGATCAGATGTTTGCTATGAAGCCCCTGTGATTTCATTGAGTCCATTTTCAAAACAAGCTGGGTAGTTAAGATAATTTTGTATTGTTTTGTAATTGTTTAGATCAATATCACCTTGTTCTGATTTTTGTCAGACTCAAATAAGAGACAAAGGTGGAATAAGATGTCCCAGCTCTGGCCGACAGTTGCTCCTCTGGGATCTCATCAGGCATCAAACGTACAACACTCTGAAACACCACCATCGGTCACGGCTGATTAACATCTGAGAAGTGGGGCAGAGAGGGGTGCCATCAAGCAGAGATAACCCTGCCAAATAGCGAGCTGGCTAAGTGTCCTAATCATGTGGGGAATGTTGAGGGAATTCCTTTCTGCCAGCTCCTGGAAACACAAAGCAGACTTTATTACTTTCAATCAGCAGGGGGACATGTACAGACCCTGTGGTAGGTACTGGAGCACCGTGTAATTATAAGTTCAGTAAATTATCACTCAGTCAAGGAGGGTAAGGAGGGGGGAGTTATGAATGTATTTTCAGTGAGGTTAAGGATTGGGGAGTGGAGCTGCTGTGTCTCTGTTTGGTGATGTGAGCAGACAGGAGCAGGTGGAACACAGAAAATTCTGTTTTCACAAAACATCCCCAGAATTACCGATCCATCCAAGTCTGAGTGAAAAGAAATGAAAGGTCCAAGTCAGTCAGCTGTTAAACCTGTGAGTTGAAAAACTTGACAAAGACATTATTCAAAAAATGTCAAAGCTTTTGAACACATCTGAGAGACGTGTCTCAATATTTTAAAATGATTAAAATCTGACGCCTCTTTTTAATCATATCATTTGCATTTGGAACTTTGAAACTATAAAAACTGGACAGATGAATTCTGTCTTTATAGACTTTTAAGGGTTTTTTTTAGCAGTAAATGTTTCAGGTTTTTCAAAAAACATGTTTTCTTTAAAAAGTAATATTTGAGATACCAGATGGAAACATGTCTTAGAATATTTAGATTCAAACTGCAGTTGGTCCAAAGTCTCCGGTTTGGGAACTTCCCGTCTTTATGGTATGATTTGGGGAGAAACATTTAGAGAAATATCATTAGAGGGCATTTCTGTTGCAAAATATTGCTTGATGCAGATAACATGTTTGAAAACAACCTCATAATTTTGTGTCTCGAAGTTAAGATTAGTCATTTAAAAAATTCTGTTAGAAATCTCTCAGAGGAAAGACTCCAGTCTGTTTTATTTCCTGTGCTGATTCACAGCTGGTTATTTTCACTGCACAGTGATTACAGAAGGTAATCAGGCCTGGGGTGCACTTCACTCAAGTGCTGTGATGTTGTGACTTCCAACATGTTAAATGATTTTTTTAGAAAAAAATTGTTTTCCGTAATGTTTCAGTTGAACAGTAAAGGAGTAGGTTTGAATTAACCAACAGGATTGGAAAATATCTTGCAGTTTTTCAAGAAGCGAATGGAGGCAGGCCCCCTAGTGGACAAACAGAAGGGTGGTGGTGGACGGGGGTTGGCAGGTCACAGCTAGTGTCACATTACTTTGATTTATATTTTAGTTCATTTTCTGTTTCAGTACCATTTGAATGATGTTTGTGTTGTTTCCAAAGTCCATTGAGTTTTGATGCCAAACACATCCAGCAGTGGTTTCCACCACTGGCCTTCCATTACATTACGCTGTCTAAGGTTTTTATTGGGTCTCCTCCTCCTTCAGGTACGACAGTGACTTCAAGCCGAGTATCTCTCCATCTTTGGATGAGGACGAAGGCTTCAGCGACTGGACTCAACGCCGAGAGAGACAAAGGCAGCAGCGACTGCAGGAGCTCAGCCACGGAGGCGATGAAGATGATGAGGAAGAGGAAAGCACAATAAGTAAAGCTGCCCCGGTGAAGACCCTCAGAGCCTCCGTCACATCCTCCAGTCAAATCCAGAAACAGGAGCAGGGAGAGATGAACAGGGCCAGGATGGAGACGGAGAAGAGAAATAAAGAAGCGGAGGAGGCTGTTCAAGCTGAAAAGGCAAGACTGGAGAAACAGAAGGAGGACGAGGTGAAAAGGGAGGAGATGATAACAAGGAGGAGAGAGGAGGCTCAGAGACCAAAAACAGAAGTAAGGATTTTACTGTTTTCACTTTGTGGCAACATTTTATTAAAAAAATGTTTGAAACTATTAAACACAACATCACTGCAATTTTTTTTTTTTTGTTTGCAGGAAAAAAGGAACGCAATTTTTTTTTGTTTGCAGGAAAAAAGGAAAGAAATTAAAGTCTCCTACACATCAAAGGTTTTCCTTCACCAGGAACCGAAACTCATCAACACTGATGGAGCCGCAGCTACTGAGGAGGTGACGCCTCATGTCAGCAAGACCAAAAGGTCAACCAGGTTTGTAGAAATAGTTGTTTGAGTCCAAGTATTTCTCTGTATATTTGGCATTAGGTTACCTGGAAACTGTAAACTAACCATGGTTAGTTTGGGCGTGGTCCTGTAATAGACCAGACAATATACAAGTCGATGGATAGAAGGTTCAGCTTCTCACATCTAATATTTATTTTCCATGTGTAGCAAAACCACGGAGCCCGAGGAGGCGGAGGCCATCCTGGAGACGGAGCAGCGTCTGGAGAAAATAAGACGGAGCCTTCAGGTGAAGGAGAACCAGGAGCTAGAGCAGCTGAAGCACCGACAGGCCGAGGCCGAGCAGGAGCTAGTAGAGCTGAAGAAGAGGAGAGAGGAGAGACGTATGGTGCGAGAGGAAGAGGAGCGGCGGAGAGAGGAAGAGGAAAAGCAACGATTGGCCAAAGAGGAGGTGATTCTGACTTCTTCAGGGTCAAATATAGAAAAATAATTGTCCAGATATTTACACAACTAAAAAGGGGAGTGAGGCCTGAAAAAAAAACCCAGTGCAATATTTCAACTGAAATCTGTAACAGAGGCAACAAATTCTCCTCTGGATGGAGTAGAATTTATGAGTCACTGTGGCCATTTAAAAAATCAGCAGCCTATTTTTAAAGCTCCCAGCAGCTCCTTTAAATTTCACAATCTCAAGAAAGAATTAATAGTGAGCTTGTAGGAACAGTATGTCCAAGGTTCAGATAAAGTCAGACATAGATCATATGTTGTCGGGCTGCTGAGCAGCAGCCAGTTCACAGATTTACTGCATGTTAACAGTGGAAACAAGGGTGTTATTATTATCCTCATGTACCTCATAAGTTAATCTCATGACAATGCAAGGTTTCAGTCCAGACAGAGCTTGAAAAAAAAAAAAAGTTTGCAACTAATGGCTCGGAACAGTGAGCTGAACAGTGTTTTTACAAACTGACTCCAGGAGGAGAGGAGACGGATGAAGGAGGACATTGAGAGGAGGAGGATGGAGGCAGCGGAGAGGATGAAGAGCCTGAGCACGTCCAGTGTGGACGGAGACGAGACGTTCAGTCCCTTCAGCCCCAAAACTCCCACCCACAAGGTAAAAAAAAAAAACCACACGTTGACCCTGCAAACGCTGCAGCGGGGTTATTTTCTCATCATCAGTCACATTTATGGATCTTATATAAGAAATGGATGTTTGTGCGGTATGTGGTTTTAAATTATGGTTGCAAAATGAACCTCCAGTCAAGGACGAGAAGAATAAACTTTGGAATTGTTATCATTGAGACTCTGGAGCTTCGTCTGACTCGAGTTGGAGACGCAAAATTAACGTGTGTCAAATACTACATTCAGTTTGTTTTTCACTGATATACAGTATCTTGACACCTGTGGCACATTATATGTGCGACATAAGTAATGAAATAATAACCCGGCAGCTTATTTAAAAGCTGAATTAATGATTGTTTTCTGTGGTTAGAAACTGACACAGGAAGTGAAGGTCTGAAGTGGAACAGCATGTTGTGGTTGTGGTCCATTCCCATGTCTTCATGTTAATATGCCTCATTTCCCCTGACCTTTACCAGAGAGGGGACACAAGCAAATAACAGTCTGCAAGGACCGACCCCCAAACTCCCACCTCACCCCCCCTCACAATTGTTCTGTTAGGAACCTTAAGTTCCTGGGAGTTGTGGTAAAAAATACACAGTGAACTTTCTGTATCCTCAGAAAAAACTGGACCTCATGATGATGATAATAATATAAATATATACAATCAATTTTATGTGTATTTATTAATTTTTAAACTGCAGGAAGTAGAAATGTTCTGAAGTTCTGTACTAACTGCTGATGCAGAAAATGTCCTAATGTTCTGATCTGATTGTATTCACTGATTAACCTATGAGAACTAGGACGTTTTGGTTCAGCGACATCACATGGTCTCCCTCAAACCTTTTTCTTTAGATTTATATGTTTACTTGAGGTGGTCTGTCCTTCAGTGTGGTGAGCCGTTAAATCCCTTTAAGGAAAACAGATTTACAGTATATTCAACCTCTATGACAAATACCTGCGTTATCTTCACAGCACAGAGGTTCAGCCGCAGCCTGTAAGTTAAATTTGTGTGTGTGTGTGTGTTTGATAGGCCAGTGTTTTCCCAACTGCACCAAGAAAAGCACGTGTGGTCATTAAAAAAAAAAAACCAAATCACTGATTATTTGAACGTGTTTGGCTGAGGTTTCATGTTGCACGTGTTCTCTGTACCGCGTCACGTTGCTGCTGTTTTTGGCAACAAGTTTTCATATTAGTCTTGTACAAAGCCCCACGTGTGTTTTGTCATCCAGCGCTCCGAGGGTTTGGAACCGGTCTTTTTTGTTGTGTGTGTGTGTGTGCATGACACTGCATGTGCGTTCAGCATCTCTCCACCAAGTACTGTCATGTTTGGAGTTTATTAGTAAGATTTTCAGAGACAGATGGATGAAAAAAGAGGTTTATTATAAAATATCAAACCTGACAGTGAGCCGAGGAAAAGGTTTGTTTCTATTTCGACAAAACACACTTTCAAATTAAGCTCATTCTCCCCTGGGGGAGGTTTGATGAAGACCAGCTGACGAAGCTGTGCTTTGCTGTGATGGACTGTGACAGACTGTGATCCAAAGCAGCAGCATGAAAAAAAAAACCAAAACCTTTGGAATCTGACGTGGTTTTCTTCTTCTGCGTTTTCAGATTACAGAGAGGACGGAGTCCCTCAGCCGCTCACTGAAGAAAAGGTGAATATAGGATTTTGTTAATTTTTTATTTTGCATTTCTTTCATTTCTTTATTAATTTGCTTCTTGTTTTGGGAATGGATTTTTTTTGTTTGACACATACAGTTCTAACATTCATTTCAGTGGGGGGTGACTGCTAATAACCAAGTAACCAATGACACAAACTCTGTTTTTCAATCAAAACAAATGCATTTGATAGAAATACAACCGAGTAGATTGGCATCTGTTGGCCAGGATTTAATTGGATTAGGACTAATCAGATCAGATTGGACTGGTGTGGATTGGATCGGGTCTAATCAGATCGGATCAAATTGAATCAGATTAAATGTGTTGAGATTAGTTTACATGAGTTTAGATCAGATTAGGTTCTATTGGAACTGCATTAGAACAAACAGGATTGAATTAAATTAGATTGTTTTCTTCAAGATGCTTTGGAGTAGATCAAATGTTACGTGTGGTGAAGTTAATTTAGGATTTTTGACTGGCACATTGCTGGGTTGTGTTTATACGAGCAACTATCAGTAAAACATAATAAAGGCCCAATGCAGACGGTGGCCGTGGCGACCCCTGAACATGGGGTTAGCTCCAAAGTTCTTCAGTTAACAGTTGAGCTGGAGTTGAATTCTCTCTGCTGGTTAATCTTCCACTGTTTGATGATAAATACTGATGAAAAGGGTCAAAGGTGACCTCTCCACCTTGCTCGGTGCATCAACCTCCTCGGCTGAGATTTACGGCTCTGCTTAACTGGGTCCAGATGCAGACGGCTGTATTTTCCCTGCCGGCCGGTGAGCTACAGCGGCTCCAGGCAGTCTGTAGCAGCTAGTTATCAGCTGCGAGCTGCTCCCAGCAGGAGTGAAGCCTCGGTGTTGGGGCTAAAATGAGTCTGTCAGGAACACGGCAATACACTGAGGCGGAATGTAGAAGCCCTGACTCCTGCAGCGATCGAGCTTCTGAGCTGCACAACCAAAGGATTCCTGTAATGATGTGGTGTTTTTCTAAAAGTTCTAGACATTTCAGAAGTAAATAGTGAGACGAGATGACAAAGTCAACACAAGTATTTTGAATGTGCTCAAATATTAATGAATGACAATTAGTTTAATGTTTGTACACACTTAAAGTTACACTCCAAATTAAAAAAGTCACCTTAAATATAAATTAATATGAATTGTCTTTGTGAACTATTAATAAATATCTTTTACAATACTTATGTTATAGATCAAAAATCTTAATTTTTAAATTACATTTAAAAAAACAAAACCTATTCCGTTCTCATTATTATAGATAAAAAAAAAAGTAAAAAACAAAACCTATGCCGTTTTCATGTATGACCATGTACTGTTTGACCAGGAGATCTTGGTTCTAGATGGTTCCATTTAAGCCATTTGATTATGGTAACATAATGTAAACCTTGATGATTGATATATTGACATTTAGGTCACAGACATTTACTTCACATCCCTTCAGTTTAAATATTATCAGCATTAAGACAATTGTAGACCTTAATAATCTCTGGGGTGTTAGTCTCCAGATTACTGCATGTTGTTGTCCAAAGGTCATTTTTATTAACTCTCCATCACTTTGTGAATATTTTGCTGTCAAAAAATAATGCTTTGAAGTCTAATGGATTAGATTTTATTAATCTCAGATCCTCACCTCCCCCTTCCTCCCCAATTTTTCTAATTAAGAATCCAATGGAACTTCACCTCCAACATAAATAGAGCAGATAAAACTAAAAACATTGTGTTGACTAATAAAAATAAATTCCGGTGGTTTCAGCTGTTCCTCTCCTACATCAGTTATGACATCACTACACGTAAAACTTCCTAATAAAGAAGGTAAAAAAAAACCAAAGGAACTTCAGACTTGTTAAAGCCCAGGTCTGGGATGATGAATGAGGTTCCTCCCCCATGCAGAGGAATGACCTCAGCCAACAGCAGAGCTCCTATCTGGAGCTGTAAAATGAAAGCTATGTCAGGGAGGAGGGTCTGTTGTTTGTGGGAGATGACTGCGGAGGTTGAGTTTGGACAGCTGTGTGAAAGAATGAGACCAAATCTGCAAAGACCAGAAAAAAAAAAAATTCAGACAAACCGTTCATTCTTTAGCAAACCCAAGGTTTGAATCTCAACTTCTGGAGTCCACATGGGAACTTCAAACTTTGAGGTTTTGATTGAAGTGAGAACTGAAACTCAAACTGAAGAAGCAGCACTGGGTTATTTTCATACGGTGTGTCATCAAACCAGACTGGACCTAGTTGTTCTGGAACGCCACCCCAGTAGACGTTGGCTTTGAAATGTGATCAGCACAATTAGTGCATACTGGCATCACCCAGACCTTAGTCTGACACAAGTTCCAACTAATTCCTAAAAAAAACCTTCCAGCCGACCGGCAGTTATGTCTGATTTTGAAGAGTTATTTGTCAGAAGCGTCTACACTCTGATGTCTCCCAAAGCAAAAAACAAAACCAGTACTGCTTACTACTACTACTACTACTACTACTTATACTAGTACTACTACTACTTTCAAAAAGACCTCTGTGTAAAACACTGACAACCAAACTGTCTTTCTTTAAAAAAAACACTGACAACCAAACTGTCTTTCTGACGTGTGTTTTAAACAGTAACAGCTTTAAGAAGACCCAGCCTCTGGTTCTTACATCCAAGATCGACGACAAACTGGAGCAGTACACTCATGCTGTGGAGGTCAGCAAACACACACACACGTCACACACATGACCAGTCAGCTGATACATTCTTCGTTAATTTACCAAAGAAAAAAATAATATCTAAAAATAAACTCAGCGTTAGATGTGTTTTTCGTTGCGATACATGTGCGATATGTACTTTTTTTTTTTTTTTTTCGTTGAGATACATGTGCGATATGTACAATTTTTTTCCTTCCTTCTTAAAAAAATACTGTATTAATTTCTTTAATTAACAGGAACAATGTGAATTACAAATCACAAAACTTTGATTTTCAAACTTTAAAACAATCTTTCAAAGACTGGAGCCAGGTGCTGGTAATAACAGAAGGTGCTGCTGATGTGTTTTCATCACAGCCCCTCGTCCTGCTGCTGGTCGGGTTTCACATCCTGTCTGTCACTCAGCACAGACATGTCTGTCTGCAGTCAAACTACTTGACTCATTCAGTGCGGTTTACGGGAATCCAGGGCGAGTTCAGGCTTATTGCCGCACCTGATTTGCACCTGTTACCGTGACGTTACTCACGGCGGCTCGGCCTGAACCGTTTAAAATACTGCTAGTGCCCTCCTCAGGCTGCACCGAGCACTGCAGGCACATGAGTGTTAAATGCTTGAACCAAAACACTGAATCAACAGAACACCTGTAACTACAGCATTGGCTACAATGATCATCTTTTTCATTAAACAGTACAGATATCTAAATATAAATATTCTATATTTATTTTTATAAATATTATAAAAATTGTCTTTAGAAAATTCAAATAAAATAAATATTATTAAAATTACTTTTTTTCAACAGGAAGCGATATTTTAAAAATATGTAATTCTCCTGAAACCTTGGAGTGTTTCATTTTCTGCAGAGGTAGAAGCTGTTGTTGCTCATGTTGAACCTTTGAACCTCACTTTGCTTTAAACCAGCTGAGGGTCACATGTATCCATGACCCCTAGTGTGCTGCAAGTCTGCAATCCGTGCTTCAGCTGGATGATGACTGCACGACTTTTCCACTTTTACCGCTGCACATGTCAAGACAGATATATGACGGCATTTAAAGATCTGTATTTTCATGCTTCTGTTCGCTCCGTCACTTCACCTCAGGCAGTTCCCAGGCCGTTTCACAGAACAGTCAGTAACCCTGGGCAATCTCAAAAGACTCACTGACTTTAAACTTTGACAACATGAAGTACAATAAAACTGGTTGGACTTATATGCAATATAGTCAAGCTAGTGATTTAATGGGAGGATTAACCTGTATTTACTGCTAGAAAGTGACTCTAATCTGGAGAAAATCTGTTTTTTTATCTTCTTGTAAATCAGTGTATCAAGTAGGCATAACCGTTTGCCTAAAATTTAAAATACATATTTTGATATAAAAAAGGGCAAATGTTGTTAGTAAATATTAATATGAAATATTTGGTTCTACTTATTTTTGTTTTTACATACTGGTAAAATGGACTAAACCATTCTGTGTTCAAAACAAATGTAAAAAAATAGTTCCCCTTCTACTTTTACTTACACTGCTCTGCCACACAGTGAACTGCATGTTTTTTTTTATATTTATGCATAGAATTCACAGGAAACCCGGGCAGTAAAGGCAGCAGTGACAGACCTGCCCAGCTCACCTGAAGTTGTTGCCTCCAAGAAGAATCTGTTTGAGGCTGGAGAGGCCTGGATCCAGAGTCCCACTAAAGGAGCAACGTGCAAGGTCGGAAAACCACAACACACTGTGCTGTGTAATTTGTAAAAGACACTGAATAACTTTAAAACAGCGTCTCATCTAGTGTAATTAACTTTGCAGTGAATAACTTTAAAACAGCGTCTCATCTAATATGTTGTTATCTTAATCAGGATGCTAATGGGCTGAAGGTGGGTGTGGCCAACCTCATCACCCAATGGGTGAAGGGCCCGTCTGATGACGGCAGACAGTTGCCGAGCAGATCTTCCGTGAGTCCCAAACTCAATCCTCCCTCGTTCTCTTTGACATGTAATTCCAGTAATTCATCAGAAGAAGAAGTAAGAAGTAAAAGCTGCTCTACGCCATCAGATTTTACTAGTCTAAAAAGCTGTACTACAAATACCTGTCGCGTATTAACGTTTTTCTGTATAATCTGAGGTTTCCCTCTAGTGGAGAAAAGGGATACAGGGTGCGCTGTCTTCGTGAATTATTTCTGACTTTGTTGGTCTGACCGGATCTATAAACCCGCAGCTGAACTCACAGTAACAACCTCTTTTATCAGGATGTGAAGCCTGGTGATGTGATGCAGAAGAAAAACATGTGGGAGATCATCGGAGACTCATCAGGAAGACAAAGCCTGAAAGCCAATAAGGTGAAACACATCTATCCATCCATTCATCCATCTATTATTTTTTATTTTAGGCCTCCTAGTCAGGATTAGTGACCTCCTCCATTTTCCTCTTGTCTGCTCCTCAGGGATCACTGGGAAGTAAAAAATATAAATTTGTTGTCACTGGACACGGAAAATATGAGAAGATTCCTGTGGATGATGATGACACTGGAGGGGAATTCACAAACGGAAAGTCTGGTATGAACATGGAATTTGTTGAACAGTTTCTGTTTAGGATTTAGGACACTTTCTTTTTCTTTAAGCCTGTAAGAAATCATCAATAAAATATCACAAATAGCTAGAGTTGATTCAACAATTCAACAGTAAAAATGTAAACAGGACTCGAACAACCTTTTCAAAGCGTATTAAATATTTTAAATTGTAATTGTAAATGAGCAAATAGTAATTGAAATATATATACACACACACACACCCATATATATATAGATTTCACTATAGCACTTGTAACTTGGCCCATACAGTTTATTGTACTTCAACACATTGTTTTGTTTTAAATATTATTGGGACAATTCACAAGAGTCTAACTTTGTCTTTTAGAGAAAATTTTATTTACAAGATTTTTTTTTTTCATATTAAACAAAATACACTTAAAGGACAGTACCACATGACACACTGATAGTTTTTGGCACCTTAAAAAGCCAGAAATGTCATCTCTGAAACATCATGTACAGTTCATTCAGCTTCAGTGATGTCACAGCCTACACAGAAACCAAAGGGAAACTAGTCGTCTGTTAGAAAATGACTACATTGTTGAAACCTTTTAAGATACTGCAAGAGAAGTTAAAAATAAAATTTAAAAAATGACAAGGTTAACTCTAGTTTATATGATCTTCAATGTAATCTATTTTTATCTACCATCTACCACACACTGTCAGATTAGAAAGCCAGCACGTTGGAATTGGGAAAAATAAACCAGGAGTCCTACATCCTCCTACAGCCCAGACCTGTAATATTACAGCAGCACGCTGTCCTCCATCATGGCGGCGACCATCTTAACTTGACTTACATTATAAAAATGAAAACAGTTTGGGTTTTGGCTACTGAAGCACTAGTTTAAACCACCAGTCTTGGCCTCTTCCTACTTCCACTGTTTGTGCTCCGTGTTCACACTTTAGCCCCACCTTTTCAGGATAGAACAAGTTCCCAGACCACGGACCTTGACTCTACCTGCTGTAAATTCATTCTTTCAATCACTCGACATGAAATTGCCAGAAAACCTTCTTCAAAATTGTTCGTTTTCTTTCAACCTTTACATCTGTATTCATTGTTGGCGGCACGTAACAGTTAACAAAGTTAACTAACAAAGATCAAATGAATGCACTGCCGCAGCTCCCTCGTCAGAGTATTTCTTAGAAAAGGGCAGTTCTCACATATTACAACGCTCTATATTTATTCTTTTCCACTTGGCATTTTCTCTTCAAAGACACTTCTGATACACAACTGGTAGAAAATCTTAATCTTCCGTGTCGTTCTTCAACGCCGATTCTATCAACTGCTCCTAAATTTTTTATTTATTTTTTTACTGTATATTGCACTTACACATTCTAACCATCAACAAACCTAAATATTAAATAAAACAATAAAATCTTTCTCTACATGTAAAATATGTTCACCACCATGAGGTCTCACCATAAGGTAAGTAGCACCATTGTGAATAAATTGCATATTTCAATAGTAATTTGACGCCAACCATTTTTCACCCTGATTTGTCTTAAAAGCATTTGTGCTATTGTATGAATTTATTTAAAAATATATGTCTTGCCTTCTCACCTGAATAAGGTCATTTTTGCATTGCCCCCATATGAGGGGTAACTACTGGGGTTGAAGATCTGCTGTGTGGCAGACAAGAGACCTTAACACTAGGCCACACCCCCGCCTCTGTTTATTAAGCAAAAATACCAAACAGAATAAGGAGTTACAGTTTAGAGTGAGGTAATGTTATCTAATTCACAACATACAAAGCAACTGCCAATTATTGAGCACATCATGAGATAACAAGTGAGGAGTTCTATGAAGGCTTTAATTGGGTCTAATGTCAGGATGACTTTAAGACAAATGGAGTTCTCATCCCAAGTATAAACCAAAACAAAAAAAAAAAACAAAAAACAAACGCCACTTTAGCCCGTAACATTTAGTGAAGTACAAATGGAAGCTGGAGTTTCTACAACACTGACACGAATGGTATTTGTTTAACACAGAGACTAAGACGTTAGACCTTTCATTTCTGTTGCCATGACTACTGTTCCTGTACATTATACATAGGCTTCCTTTTTGAACGTACAGTTTGACACTGTACCATAGACACGACCTAAATAGCTGTAAAACCTCTTGCTGTTCTATTGAAGTCTTTTGGTTCCTCATCTTTTCCCTTCCGTCCGATGAGACCCATTTCAAACACTGTTGAGATTTTAGTGACTGGCCTGGAAGCTGCCTCCTTTAGCTTTTTAGCATCAAACCTTGGACTAAAAAGCAGCACAGGCAGTCGGTGTGCAAACGCTGGTACCTCTTTGGGTTTATCTTTTTCGTCTTTTGTCTTTTCCTCCTCGCTCTTGTTCAACTCAATCTGATGCATGATACTCTCTTTGCTGGAGAACATTTGGAAGAGCACAGCGTCCCACATCTTTGTTGCGGTGCCTTTGGTCTGGCCCTTCTCAGCAGTTCCATCAACACTGTCATCAGTCTTTTTCTCTGAATTCTGGTCCTGCCCAGTGGCTTCCTCGTGAGAGTCAAGTTCTGGAAATTTGGGCTCTTCCTGCTCCACTACCATGTGCTTCTTGAGACGGGACCATCCACTCACTTTTGATTTTAAGCCCTTTGACTTTTGCAAGACCTTAAGAGGCTCAGCTGCACTTTCCTTCTTCTCAGGTGCAACAGCTGACTCTTTCTCTTTGTCTTGTGTCGTGTCTTTGCCTCGTTCAGATTCCAAAGCAGGTGATTGTTTACTGGGAACAGCAGCTGTGGGGGCTGCCATTGAGCCATCGGTTTTGATAGGACTTACAGCTTTAACTGGCTCTTTTGATTGTGACACATCAGTTGGTGCCTTGGTTTCTGCTTTCTGTTCTGTGTTCTGGGTTTTATCTTTACCAAAGAATTTCCTTACTGCCCTTAAGGGATCTAGGTCACCAGATTTGGGAGGGGGTTGCTTGATTTCTGGGGGTTTTGTTTTGGTTTCTTTTTGAACTGGAGTCTTCACATCTGCTGTTGAAACCTTCGTTTTGGAAGGTTCCTGTGCGATGGTTACCTCTGGTTTTACAGTGACCTGACTGGAAGCTCTACTTGTCTCCTGTGCTGCTAAGACTGGGGTGCTGGATGCCTGTGAAACGACAATAATGGGGACAGAAAGAGGTTTATCTACTTCTTTGACATGGGGTACCTCGGATGTTGAGGGTTCTCTCCTTGAAGGCTCTTGACTTGGTGTTTTGGACTTCTCTGAATCCTCCTTTGTAACTTTAACAACCTCTTCAGCTGATGTAGTAGACATGGATATTCCAAATGCTGGGGAGTAGGTTTTGATTCCACCATAAGCTGTGTATTCTGCAGGTGTCAAACCACGATAGGCTGACCTTGTGTTTTGAGCCGTAGGGATTGGGGTTCTTGGTCTTGAGAGCCCAGTGGGTGTTTTTGGTCTTTTGTAGACGGGCGATGCAGTCATCAGGCGGGATGCCTCATACGTTGGAGTCCTGCGGCTCTGGTATGTGTAAGAAATCACTTCTGGTGCTGTTAGCTCAAATGTAGGCGTTTTAGATCTTTGAGGATCAGTTGCAGTTGATGTTCCGGTCAAAGAAGGCTCGGATCTTGCCTTTGTTATACCTTTCTGGATTGGTTGAGGTGTCAACCAAAGAGGAATGTCACCATTCATTGCTATTTCCATAGGTTTAGGCTCAGACACAACAGTCATCACAGTATTGGAAATTGACAAAGCACTAACAGCAGAATCCGATCTTGGAGAATATGATCTTTCAGACTCTACTGTAATTGGTGACACGGCAAACAGGAGAGGATTCGGTTTGGAGATTTCAAACACAGGGGTTGGAGCCCGGTTCCCATGGTATGCAGGGGTCATAGGCCGTCCTGTTCCGGTTCTCTGTGTTTGAAAGTCATATGTTTGTGTTTTAACTCTTACGTCAGCTGTTGGAGCTTCTCTTTGGATTTCAGGCGTAACTGTTGTGATTTCAGATGTCGATGTTGTTGTTTTGATTTCAGACCTTGCCTGAGTGTCTTTTCTGAATTCTGAAGCGGGAGCGTTGACTGTAATTGTCCCGGCTGTCGGCTTATTGCCACTCGTAACGTCCACAGGTGGTACTGTTTGTACCATAATTTGTGGTACGCTGCTACCAATTGCAGTTAGTTCAGCTGTGTCATACACAGGAGGTGTCCTACATGATTCATAAAACGAAGTGCTGGCTGTGTACATTCTTATTTGAGGGACATCAAACATTGGTTTTGGTGACCTTGAGGGTTCGGTTGCCCTGAAGTTTGGCCGAGGACTTTTGGACTTTAAGAGTGGCGTCAACACTGTGAGTGGTCGAGTGAAACCTTGACCTCCTGCTGCAGAATATGGAGACAGACCTGGACTTGTGGGTTTAGGCCCTCGTGTTGCTGCAGCAGCAGGTGTAAGACCACCACGAGGTTCAACAAATGTGCTTAAACGTGGCTTTTTCACCTCACTAGCTGACATTATTGGCACAGATAAGTCTTGCACTGAGATTTGCGGTACCCCTGACTGGGCAATCGTCACCAAATTAGGTGACACGACAGGAAAGTAGGTTGATACTGCGTATGAGGTAACTGTAGTGACTTGCGTGTATGGTATTGCCCCTGTGTTAGGTGGAAACATTGCTGGTTTGCCATAGGCGGCACGTTGAGGGTACGTGGATGCCACATGTTGATAGAGTGGCCTGACAGTGAAGCGCGGTGGATGCTGGATACTGTAGAAGTTGAACGGTGTCTCAGGTGTGCGGGGAGGAGTGGAGTGGTCACTGCGCTCGAGGTCAGGACTTGCTTCATTCACAGGGGAAAGGCTTGAACGAAAAGGTGCTGCAGACTGTGCTGCCTGGGCAGAGGCCTTTTTCTTGGCTATTCTTTTGAGAAGCTTCTGAAGCCGAACGTTGTCCTTTCCAGGCTTGGGCAGCAGGGGAGGAGGGAACTGCTGAGAAAACAGGCCCGGCTGGGTGAAAGCACTGTAAGCGACAGCCATGACCAATGCAGCACCCTGTAAAGATACATTTGACAACTGTAAAATCAGGGATGATACGTGTCAGTACAGTCCGCTGCTTATAGTCAACAAATATAAATATGTTTCATGGATTACTGTACAGTCTACTGCTTATAGTCAACAAATATAAATATGTTAAAGGCAGTTAAAATAAGTTTAAATTGTGGCAGGTATTTTGTAAGTATTGTTCATTCAAACGATGTCTTTAATTTAAACTTGAACTAATTTAAACTTAAACTACCATGTTGTTTGTCTTCCTAACAGATTTGTGTGACGGTGCCTACTGAATCGGTTCCTACAGTTCATCTAAAGGATCAGCTGGTGACGGATGTTCAACTAATGCAGCTCTACAACAGTTACAGTTACAGTATTTTTGCTTTTATATTTAATATTGCAATTTATCTTTTTAACAGTCTCAGCCGTGCCATTGAAAAATCATCGAAAAAGGTCATAAAACATCTGTTCAATATCCCACGTTTGTGTACTTTCTCCTGACCTTCTGTTTTTATCATGTACAGTATTCTATGTATCTTATTCTGAGCTTTATTATTGTTTTTCTTTTTCGGTATAGATAAAGTTTAGATAAAGGATTTTATATTTTATGATCAAGTTCATATTTTACAATCTAGTATGAATTTCCACATCTGTTCTTACACTTACACTATGGTTACGAAAAACACACGCACTCTTTCACAGATAAGGGTAGTGGTAAAAAGTTAGAAATTAAACTCGACCACATTAGTTTCTACATCATACACAGTCACATAGTTTTGTTTTGTTAAACTCACACACATTCCTCTTTTTCTCTCTCTGTACTACTGCAGGCATTTTTACCAATTCTATGTCGGTTTTCTCAACTTCTTTTCTTATGTTTTTTTTTAACCCTGTTTCTTAAATAAATTAAAATAATTTTCTATTATACTGTGGCCTGTTATTTTCCTTTCTGGTCCAAATTGTTTGTTTCTTATACAAAGATCAGAAGTAAATAACTTTTCTCCTCATTCATACGAGTGGGAAGACCTGGTTCTCAAAAAACCTATTGCATTTTTTTGGTCATTATTATTATTATTATTATTATTATCCATATATCTTTGCCTTGTTTTTATTTGCTAAACATTACGAAACCACTTTGTTCCCACAGCGACACCTACAGGCTGCTCTTCGCAGTCTAAACTTTATTTGCACTGCCCAGCTGCAGCCGAGTCACGCCACGATCTCATGTCTCCCCTCACAAACACATACACATATAGATGCATATATATATATATATATATGTATATATATATATATCTGTTAAAGGGAGAAAGTGAATGCAGAGCATCTGACCCCATGACATCACAGCCCCTGACACCAGATAGGACCACGGAAATAAACTGTGCCTGAATCTGCCCAATCACATGACATTGTTGGACTTTAACACAAACACGTAAATTGAATAGAGTGGATGAATATAGGGGCACGAGTGTAAACCTTAAATGAAATAAAATGTTTGGTTTTTTTCTCTGTGCTAACACATGCTATTTCCACTTTCAATTTGATTATCTTCACATATGACATGACGGCCCAGTGGATGTTGATGATGCGGAATTGTTTATGATTTAATGCAGTGCGATCATAACAAATGTTCAGAGTTTACTGTCGATCACCTCGGGTTGAAGGGGTGGGGGGTGGGGTGTAGGCCAGATCTGGTTGGGTCTTAAAGCCCTACCCCACCAGCCTCCTCTCTGAACATACAGCTAGTCTGACACATGAGAGTTCACTCCTCCTTTTAAGGTTCTGGTAGGTCTGGTATTTGGAGCGCCTTCAGGATGTGAGTTCAAAAGAGGAAAGTGTAATAATAGCTGTGTAATACAAACCGAGTGGCTCCACAAAGGCCTCCATAAGTAAATGAATCCACCCCAAAAACCTATGCAGTTCCAGTCGGGCTGGATGAGGCTTCGTATACAAACATGGTAGATTTGGATGAACTTACCAGGTCAACACTTGTTGCTGATGTTCAAAGCACCCGGGCAGGTTCCCCTTGACACAACACAAAAATATAGGAACACTAGTTAACTTACTAGATTATCTACAAATGTGAATAAGATCTAACAACAACTGATTTATACTCCCACAATATTGCAACAGTAAGACTGCAGTCTAAGTCCGTGCTGCAGATTAGTGATTTGGTTGAAGTCACCAACAGCAGAAACAAAGCTTTACAGTCAACCATGCTTGTGCTTCACGTTGCACTGAGAACCAGACTGAAGCTGTGATTCTCCAAACACATGTCAGACCTCCGCCAGGGTAGGGGCTAATATAGATATAGATCTGTTTCCCTCATCGCTGCTAACCCTTTCCCTCTGCTCTGTCTAGAGAATAAAAGGTATAATTATTGCGTGTTTACCTGTCGACTGCTGCTTTGGGCTCGGCCGGCTGGCTGCTGCCTGCTTGTCCCTGCCTGGAGTGTCAGAGCGGCAGGTTCATGTTGAGCCCAACTCGACCCCCCTTTCCTACAAATGGAAGGCAGTGGCGCCATGACAGTCCAAAAATAAATCTTGAGCTCTGTGAACAGTCCGGAGTGACAGCAGCGTTGTCCCGGCAGCGGAGGTGCTATGCAGCATAGTCAGGTCGAGACCCCAGGTTTACCACCTCAGGACCTTAAACGTGGGCTCCGAGGGCCACCCAGGGGTCCTTTAAGGATCTGCCAATGCTCAGATGGGCCATGAAACCCTCTTTTTTTTTAAATATGCCTTACTTTTGTGGTTCAGAACTTATAACCAACGTACTATGGTGTAAATAGAGTACGAAGGCCCCAGTGATTGCACCAAGCACCTGAGCAGCAGGCTGTGTATTTGTACTTCTCCATGTATAAGGCAGATCCCTTAACCACTAGGCCATGGGCTGTTGTGGTATCTGGGGAGGGGGGGGTTCAGGCTATGAACAGATTTTTAACAATTTATCCAAGATATTCTGAATTATGGAAACAATTTCTTAAAATAACTTTCATGTTTATTGAGCTTCATTCACTGAGAACGACCAGTTCAGTTCAGTTGAATTTGTGAAAACAACAAACAAACAAACTACGTTTGTTAATCTTTACTAACGAGATCACAGGGGTTTATTTTTAACCCATAGCGGACTACTGAATAGTAATTTTTTTTTTTTATTAGGAGATTGTCATTGTCACATTCTCTAATACCATTTTTTTGCCTTAGATGATTCTAGTGCAATTCAAAGGTCATTAAGTGTCACCCTAATGACTTTTATATCCTAAAGGTTCTATGTTCAGATTTGTTTCCCAAAACTGATGATGTCATTAATTGTTAATTTGTTTCAGATTTGTTTGTGAATATTGTTCTGAACTTTACATGAACCTGACCATCTAAAAAAAATCAGGACTAACTCTAACATTGTCTACCAATGTTGGGGGGGATAAATAATCAACAGTCCATCAGGCTTAGGTAATTAAAGTTTCTGTTCTGTCCCTGTAGCTCCCCCTAGAGGAAATTAGAGGGTCATCCAGGAAGCCTGAGTGGCAGCCATTTCTAAGACTGCCGTTCAGGCCTTGAGGTGAACTGACAGGTTAGTACATTTTTCAAAAAGTAGAAACAATTAATTACAGCCTAAAGTAATCATTTTAATTATTAATTCTGTTTTTTGAAGTGAAACATGATATGATTGTTAACTTTTGACATCAATTTTTAGAAGTAAGTAAGTAACTAAGGGACATTAATATATATTTTAAAAAGGAAGTGAAAACACAATCATAAAATCTCAGTGGTGAGAATATTCAATGTTCTTCAAACATAGAGAATAATCAACAGGCCTGAGGGGTCGTACCACCTCATTTGGTCTGAGACCAACTAAAACTGATGGATCTCGTCTTTTTTTCTTCTTCTGCGCAGCTTTGACCATGTCGTACAAAATGTTTCAGAAGTGTAGAAACAACGCCTGCTTCTAACTCTGACGTCCAACTCTCTTCTTAAACTGAGTTGAAATTTGCTTGCCTAATGCAGTGCCCCCAGAATAGCAACCTGAAGGCGTCTTGGCTCTCCCCTTCTCCAAACATGAGCCTCCCTCCTGAGCTCTGGGCCCTTCCATCTCCTTATTGAGTGTCCGTGATGGGAGGGGGGGGCACGGAGTCACGGACCCTGCCCCGCCACAGGTCGGACCTCGCCTCCGGGCCGGCTCCTCGGCCAATAGGGAGGCCGAGTGGATCAAGTGTCACTATAACAGAAGGACATAATCAGCGCGGTAAGTTTGCAGAACCTTACAGCCTGTCTCGGCCAGAAGGAGCTCACTTCTTTCAGCTTTTCTGAGGTAAGGAACAGAGCAGAGAGAGTGTGAGAGTGGGAGTGGGAGAGAGAGTGTGAGAGAGAAAGAGAGAGGAAGCTCAAGTGCAATGTCCCCAAACAGTTCCCACAGAAAAGACAGCTGAGTCCACATGGTTTAAAATCACTGCCACAAGTCGCTGGTTTGTCTTTGAGGTCAGAGGTTAGACAGGGAGAGGTCATGTTCAAAAATGCGTAGATAACGGAGCCTTGAACTGTCGGAGAGTTTCGCGTTTGAGCTCGGAGGAAATCGTTGTTGGCGTTTGATTGCAACTTTGGGATCTAATAATTACTGTGGCTGTCACCTCTGACCTTTGCTGAGGCTTCGAGTGACATTTTTAAGTTACATTTTAATGTGTCTGTTTTAGCAGCCGGTGTTCAGCTGTAATACTTTGTTGTCATTGTTGTGATACCTCCAGTGACTGTCATACCTGAGGGATTTACACAAAGCCTGAGACCTCTGAAGGAGCTTCTCACTTCAACAGACAATTAATGATGGTGTAACTTCACAACAGAAGGAAATTGTGTTTTTGTTGTTGTTTTTTTGGCTTCTTTAAATTGTTTGGACAGTGATTTTGTTGTGTTGTATTTTCACCCCGTCCATCTTGAACGCTGTGAAATTAATAATGACACGGAGATGCTGATGGCTGCGGTATGTGTGTACTGTTAAGTACACATATACGAGGATCAACACTTTAGCATCTTGAACAGAAGCCAAGGACCTTGACTTGATGTCAATGGATCATTAAACTTCCTGGCCAATCTCACTGGATAAGACAGACAGTCTGAGGAGACACTGGGAATCCCAGATAAATACTAAGAGTTCAGGTGACGGCCCTTTAACCTTAGTGGCTCCCTGTCTGGTTTATTTTGATTCTCGAGTGAAGTGGCCTGGGTCAGCAGGGAGCATCGGGAAGATGATTGAAGGAACCATGTGAAACCCAGATGCCAGATAAGGAAATGATGCTTGAATTATGGGTAGCGGCCCAAGGAAAGGAATACAATCTTCAACTTCATGCCCTGAACTGAAACCAGATCTGGGACCTCAGCAGCTGTCTGTTGAAAATAGTTTGGCCTTCATGGTGGCCGACACCAATGGTGCTAATGGGCGACTGAGCCGCAGTAATCAGTAAAGTATTTAATATTACATGGGATTTTTAATCAATTCAAGCCCTGCAGCTTTGTCCTGGATCTTTGATGAACTTCAATCCAACTCTTTCTGGAGTTGGAACTTAAATTTGAATTTATTTTTTAAAATCAATATTGCGAAAAATGAATTTTGTAGTTTTACATAATGTTCTTGATGGTAGAGGGCAGGAGGTTGACCCCTGCCTTGACCCTGAGAGGTTTCTGTCCTTAATTCTGTCCCATTAATGTCTCAGCTGTATGAAAACAGAGCGTTGGCATTAATCTATGTTTGGCTTCCGTCTCATTTATCATCAGAGAAGCAAATTCAGGCCCAAGGCTCGAATGTCAGTCCCGTTCAGTCAGACACTAATTATAGAGTGAGGTTCATCCAATGTTACATGGGAAAGAGGAGTGAACTGATCGCGTCGTCCTGAGAAACTGAGGTGAAGAAAAGTGTTGAACTTGAAGGAAAACATTTTTTAAACAAATATTCGTGTATTTGAGATGGCAGTAAAACTTTAGTGTTGTGAGCAGGTGGGGTTTTTCTCAGGGTGGGGCAGGCACCAGAATTTAAGACATCTGCAACTTAATCCTGGGCTATTAATACAGCAGGCCACAGAGAGCTCTCTGCAAACGGACTTAAAGTTCCTCTCTCCTTTTTGCTTCCAGGTTGCAAAGTCCACTGTCACCATGTCTGACACAGAGGAAGTGTAAGTCGTTTTAACATTTATTTACAAATTATTTTTTTAAAGAAATATCAAATTGTAATCATAAATCCAGGTCTAATAACTAGACAAAACCTACATTGATCATTCATGCATTGAATCAAAAAGTAAGATTATTTAGTAAAGATGCAAATTTGCAACTGAATTTCATTTTAATTTTAGATTTAATAATTAGGTGTTTTTATTTTTATTTATTTATTTTTTCTTTCTTTGCATTACAGTGAACAGGTCGAGGGTGAGTACCTACATTTTTTTCTTCATTTTGTTTTAAAAACCAAAACCATACATCCCACAAATTCAGGTCCAGGTGCAGTCTGGAGTTCCATGCTAAATCTTTCAGTCTTGCCTTAACTGACTTTCCATTCCCTGTGAAGAGTCCTCTGGACAAACTCACGTGTTCACAGGTTTGGCTTGACTCCTCCAGATTCAAGTGCAGCAATAACGTTCTCTCTTTAAAAGCCAAAACTGCACACGTACAACAATAGTTCTGTTCTGGCACTGAACGCAGCTTAGTTGCAGGTACTAACGTTGACAACAGGACGGTGTCGTATCTGTTAAGTCTAGATTCCTGAAATCTGATTTGTACACGTCTGCACCGACCTGTTGGCAACGTGTCCTGCAGCTCTGCATGTCCCTCTGCCAACAGTCGTGCTGAGCTGAGACGGCGCTCTCAGAGGAAGTGAACTGTGACTTCTCTGTGTTCCAAAGCCACTCTTGTCTGTGAGTGCAGCTCGGCCCAGCAGGACTGTGTTGTGTATGCTTAGCATGGATCCCCAGTGTACCCACATTTTGCAATGTATTCTGTCAAAACATGGGTACAAACGGGATCTTTTGATAATATCTTTTGCTCCTCTCTTTTTTCCGGCGGACGAGAAGAATACGATGGTAAGAGAAAGCCTGCAAACCGCGGATGACGAGTCAATCGTACTAATTTGTCCAAATACGTGTGTTCTTCCATTCATGTGTATCTCTCATGGCATGTTGGTTCACACTAATGGTTCTTCAAATAAGTGAATAAAAATAGGAAGGTGATGTTCCTAAATGACATCAGGGTAGAAACTTTATTATCACACAGTCTTCCAGTTCGGAGATTTTTCCAAGATCTAATCACCTTGACTTTTCCTGACTTTTCCTATTAATGACTGACCTTTTCCCTCCAGTAACTGCTTGCTTTCTCAGCTGCTACCACGCCATCTGGTGGCAGTTCCCCTGAAAACTGCCCCTCTAATTTTTCTATGAATTGACCCATGTCTCACGTCTCTATCTCACATTTCCTCTAATCACTCTGACAACTTCCAGTTCTTTCCCCTCTCTCCTGCTTTCATTAACCCTCTCACCGCCCTTCCTCTCCCCTGGTGACTCGCTGCATGTTGTGTAGCTGTAGAAGAGGAGGTAGAACAAGAAGTAGAGGTGGCCCCTGAGGCGGCCCCTGAGCCAGAACCAGAGCCAGAACCAGAACCAGTGGTAGAACCAGAGCCAGAACCAGAGCCAGTACAAGAGCCAGAGCCAGAGCCAGAGCCTGAGCCTGAGCCTGAAGGTATGTGGCATGGTGGGGTTAGGGGGTATTTTATCCTTCTTTCCCAGGAGACAGGTTCGCTCCACTGGTTAAAGCCAGCCAGAGCTCCCCCCTCGCTGATCCTGATCCGCACCCATGTTCACCATATCTGCTAATGCTAAAGCTAATGCTACGGCTTAAGCTAATGCCTTTTTTTCGGATCATCTCTGAAAAAAGTCAACAGTTTGTACAGCACTCTACTGTAAAACTTCGTCTTATATTAAAGTTAAGTAAAGTAGGTAAATAATGATGTTCTGTCCAAATAATTGTAGCCAACATTAGAACAGTAAATTAGCATAGTTAGCTCGTTACTTTATGCTAATTAGCTTCTTTTTTTCACCGTTGATTCATTATTATTTGTTTAAGCAACGATATTCATAAGAAAAACAAACATCTGGGTTTAATTTTGATATTGATTCATTTTCAAAATGATTTTTACCAAATCCGAAACACTTAAATTCACTTAAAACTAAATTGACGTGAGTGGGTTGATATGTGCTATGGACATCTTTATTTTGAAATTCAATATCACATGATGCGTCTTGTAATTTTTTACTTTTGTTTGTATTTATTAGTGGAGTCATTATTATATATGTAGGCTGTAGAAACTACAAGTATTTTAAATTATTAAAATAGTCCAATTCCTACAACATGTAATTTGCTAAATATATTTTAGCTTTGTAAATATACCATATATGCTAAATCTTCAAGAAGAAACAATTCCACCCATTTTAGAATTAAAATAAAATTATTTTTTAGACACTAACACTACTTATACTAATGTTTTACATGTACACCTTTATATTGTGTACATGGAATCATAATAACAAAGATGACCACCAGATTAAAATAAATACTATTTAAATAATGGTATAATGATAACCACTCAGCATGGACTGGAGAAAATCACACATAATTGTTAAGGTGTGACACATTTCACATTTCATAGTATTTACCTGGTGGGTGTCATCTCTCAAGTCATCAAATCATCCCATTAGTGTCACGTCCATGGTCGACCTTAATCCTTTCATTATAATCTCTCAAACCTCCTGTTGAACTTTAATGCAGTTTTAAAATTTCACAAAAGAATAAATAAAAACAATCCTGATATTCTTGGTCTTCATTCCCATCCACTGTATCATGTTAACACAGGTAGTTTTAGTTGCATTTCATCCATACATTTTTTCTTTCTTTTTCCTACAATGTTTGTGATAATTGGAGATATACTGGAAAATCATAAAAAAGTATTTCTGACTATTGAAACTATAAATGTATATTCCTATCTGTATGGATGTTTTGCCCCTCCCGGTGTGCCTGCTAATGCTGTTGTCTATTCTGCTTTTATTCTTGGATGCTTGCTGCATGCAGAGGCTGTTGAAGAGGAAGGTATGTTAATTTCAAATCTGAAATCTGTTATTCTGGTTTTGGTGGGACCACAGTGTCGAGGTCTGATGTCTGTTCTCAGGGAGCGTCTGTTTTTTTTTATTTTCTGTTGTCATAAATTTACATCCTTAAAATCCAGGACCACTAACCATTTGGCAAAAACTGAAGACTCCACGTACAAACTCAGTTTATTTTTCGCACATACAGTTGTTAGTGGAGAAGAAGGGCAAATATGATTATGAAATGCTAACAAATGCCACTCGTCATTTGCATGGCATGGAGCCGCCAAAATCTGGGCTTAAAACTATAGAAGAACCTGGGGAAATAAAGTGCCTGTTTAAAAACTTTTGGGGTCAAGCCAAAAAAAGAAAAGAAAAAAAAGGTTTAAAGGTAACAGCTTTAGCAATATTTTAACCTGAATTAGCAACATGCTAAAATCAGATCCTTACCTCTTTATGACGTGTTACTATTTTAGTTTGACGTTAACTGCAAGAAAATGCATTGTTTTATACAAAATATTTGTCTCCTCTTACAGATAGAATGTGAACTTTATATTTGTTTTTCTAACCTTTTAAAAATAAATCCTAAAAAAAATCAGTTCACTTTTATGTTTTAATCTGTCACATGCAGACGAGGTCATAGATCTTAACCCAATGTATGTAATGCCTGAGAGAATTTGAAAGAATCTGCTTCAATTCTAACCCAATGACATGTACTTGTCCCCTCTTCATTTTTTGAACTCGCAGAGGAAAAGCCAAAGTTCAAGTAAGTTCTTTTTCCTGTTCTTTCACCTCAAAAGATTTTTTTCTTTCCATTTTTAACTTGAGATTTCTGGCTGAAAACATAGAAAACCTGCAGGGTATTCACACACGTGCACTAGCACTAAAGACCCACCTTCTCTCTTGTAGGCCCACTGCCCCAAAAATCCCTGACGGTGAGAAAGTGGACTTTGATGTAAGCTAACACAAATTAGCTGTCGCAGTAGCATTCCATGTGATTTGTGTGATTTCTCTGTGGGTCTGAGTTTCGCTCTGCTTCCTCTGTTCCACAGGACATCCAGAAGAAACGTCAGAACAAGGACCTGGTTGAGTTGCAGGGGCTGATCGATGCTCACTTTGAATGCAGGAAGAAGGAGGAGGAGGAGCTGATTGCCCTGAAGGAGAGAATTGTAAGTCACGTGGCAGGGGTAATTCTCCAACACTCTTTGGGCTACAAAAAAGTAAATAACAAAACGTTAATAACTATGGATGTCCGATATTAACCGATATAGACCTGGTAATATTTATTTATCTGTACAAAGTGTAAAACACAGGTCAAATACAGCCGTCACTTCTGTTGTTTTCTGGCTGTGTGTGCAGCTGTTGTGGCAGCTTTTTTTCCTGTCCAATTGAATTCATTGTGTTTCACTCTGCAGGAGAAGCGTCGTGCCGAGAGGGCCGAGCAACAGAGGGTCCGTGCTGAGAAGGAAAAGGAGCGCCAGGCCAGACGTGAGGTCAGCATTTACGGCACATTCAACTTTTGTTGCCTGAAAAACACTCAGAAATCAGGAAACTCATACAAATGTTGAATGTACTCTCTCACTCTGATGTGTTCTGTGTGAAACAGGAAGAGAGGCGATCCAAGGAGGAGTCTGACGCCAAGAAGAAGGCAGATGAAGAGGCAAAGAAGAAGTCAGCTCTGTCCAGCATGGGCTCCACTTACAGCAGCCATCTGCAGAGAGTCAGTACACACACATCAACACACACACACGCACAAATCATATACAGTGGTCCCTCGTCAATTGCACGGGGTAACGTTCCAAGACCACCAGCGATACCGCAAAGTAGAGACGCGAAATATGGCAAAAAAAACAGGTTATTTCTTGCAAACCCCTGTATGTATAACCAGGTTATTTCTTGCAAAACCCTGTATGTATGTGTTACAAAATGTATTATGTATATTTCTTTAATATGTCTGCATAAGTATAACTGTAGCGTTATCACACAAAGACACACAAACTGACCAGTAAATATCCATGTGCACTGAACAGGCTGACCAGAAGAGAGGAGGAAAGAAAGAGACTGAGAGAGAGAAGAAGAAGAAGATCCTGGCCGCCAGGCGCAAGCCCCTGAACATCGACCATCTGAACGAGGACAAGCTGAAGTACGAGTCCAGACTCGCTCACTCACGCTTTGTCATCTTCACATTTTCACTTACAAAACTTTTTATTTTCATTTTTTCCTTGTGCTTGTGCAGGGACAAGATCAACGAGCTGCATGAATGGATGACCCAGCTGGAGTCTGAGAAGTTCGACCACATGGAGAGACTGAAGAGGCAGAAGTATGAGGTGAGAGCTCATGTCATGTGACTCTGACTCCTACAGCCAGTGGCTGTATTTACCGTTCTTAACCCAGAGTGTGTCTGTAGTTCATCAAATGAACAGGGGTGCTGCAAGGAATTCTGGGCCCCAGAGAAGGACATGATCTCTCACGGCACACTAGTGTGCCACGGCCCAGCGGTTGGGAATCACTGCCTTATGGTATTATATATGTGTGAAAATCAGAAAAGTATTCAAATCAGAATTTATCTTATGATAACAATTTCCCAGGTCTGTACCTTCGTCAATGATTTATATGCGTATTAATATATCATTATATTAATATCCTAGTTTTAATTAACCACAATGACTATTTTGGATCAACAGAGGATGTAACAACCAGGTTTATTCTCCCTGCTGCCGATCTGCAGCATCTTTGCTCTTGTTACTTCTTAATGCTGTCGTCCTGGGGAGAAGGTCCAGTCCGTCGTCCTCTCACTTCACCCTTTGAACTCTTTATAAACTCTTTGATTCCCTCCAGGTTACAACCCTGCGTAGGAGAGTGGAGGAGCTCAGTAAATTGTAAGTAGAGTTTAGCAGGGAGTCACGTCTGTCGACTTCAGGCTCGCTGCATGTTAGCATGAAGGAGGCTCAGAGAACCGGAGGTCCATCTCTGGTCAGGAGGCAAGATGATTTACACGGTCACTCAAACTGAGGGAGCTGAAGAGTTTGTTTTCAAGAATAACTGGTTCATTGTCAACCAGTGAGATCAAAAATAGCATTACAGCTTTATCAATATTTTTGGGACAAATATGGGACTTTTGAAATCTGTTTGAAGTATTTTCTACTTGTACTACCTTTTGGAATCAAACTCTTCAGTGAGGAGCAGATGGAGCAGAGATTAAACTGCTGTCGTCTGTCTCTGAGGCCCACAGGTGGGTCTGCGTCTGTGCTGATGTTTGTCACAGCTTAGCTGCAGACGAAGGTCTTTGAACTGTGTCTTTTTGTTGTCTGGGAATCTATGACGGACGACTTGAAACTCAGATCATCCAACAGAAAAAAATGGAAGAATCCCAATTTGATAACTGGATAACTGAGTTTCACGTCTGTCGTCTCGATTTCCCATAATGCTTCGGCCTGCAGTTTTCAGCCCCTGGAGCCGGCTCAGAAGAAGAGAGAGAGAAGGGAGTCTGTATCCTCTGAGGTAAAACATTTCAGGTCTTAAAGCTGCTGTGTATCGTTCTCCAGGTGCTCTCACATAGGATTCGCATTGACCAGTTGCAGAAGCAGTAAGTACTGCCGCGGCTGCATTTACTGACACCTAGTAATCCAAATAAAAACGTAACTCCATTTAATCCAAACTTGGTTCCTGGGTGAATGTCACAACTCGTCAGTGTGACATTAGAGATAATACTCTCAGCAGTTTCTGACAGGAAACTGTTGGTGTCAAGAACATGGCGATCTCATACACACACACACACACACACCTCATTCCACAACACAGGCCCTGATCGTTCATTCACATAACCGAACAGGAGGATGCTAATACTGCAAGCTAGTGTTTACGTGTATTCCCTCAGCAGTAAGGCGCGTTGACAAAATTAACCTAACTTAGCATTAATTTTGCAGCTTTAATTTTGAATTTTGCTGTGAAGTCAAATCTGTGGTCGTCGCACAGATTTACAAACCCCTCTCCTCTCTACTCCATGTCTGGCCCCATGCTTTTGGTTTTTGTGGTGGTGCTTTAACGACCGGTACAGTCCGTGTGTCGTCGTATGAACTGTAAACATATTGATAAGAGGTCGCATTAACATGAAAACGTTGAATCTTACAAGACTAAATGTTTAGACACAGACTAGAATTTTTACAGCACGACTCAGCGTAGAGCAGCTGTTATCACAGTAACCATGAGGGAAGCTAACATCTGCTGGACCGGGGTATTGTTGTGACCTGTACAGGTAAGTACTGCATGGATTGACTGGTGACTGCTGTGCTGCAGGCTGAACAAATCACGTGTTCTTGGAAATTTGCTGTCGACACAAAGGCTTTTAGGCCTTTTGCCGTAAACAGCATAGTTTTGTAGTGATGGGTTTTTAGTGACCCCACGTCTGATGTCCTGGTATCCAAAATGTGAACCAGTTTTACTGTAAGAAAATGAGAACAGAGGAAAAACCAAAATAACTCTCAAAACTTTCTTGTCAATTCTGACACGTGCTCCTCCTTTGCTTTTTGTATTACAGCAGCAAGAAGGGAGCCGCTGCCCGCCGCAGAAAGTAAACTGGCTTGCTTCATGGCCGCTCAGGAAACGAACTGCAATCGTCTCGAACACACGCCTGATGAATCAATGTACCCTAAGGCGAAGGTCGTAACTCAGAAGAAGTGTGTAATCCTGAGGTTTACACCGAGATTACCAATCCATATCCTGAACCATGCAACCAGGAACCTTTAGCTGCTGTCAATAAGAATAAAAAGTACTAAACCTTGATTCGCCATCACGCTTCCTCACCTGCGACTGTTTGGTTCTCGGTATTTTTGTAAATAAAGTGTGACCCTTCAAGCCATGTCTGTAGAGCTGTTGTTATTTTAAAGAAATCAATAAAGTTCAGTATTTTTAGCCGTGTAATTTTAAATTCATTTCTCCAGTACTGTTTTTAAAGTGCAGGGTTGAATTAAGCTCCATAGTTACAAGAAAAAGAGGCTCAGTCCTTATTCAGTCAGAAAAGAAGTCTTAAGATCTGTTGACATCTCCTATTCAGTGTTGTATATTCCAATAAGATGTAGAGAAAAATAAATACAAATAAAAACTGGTGCTAAAGTAATGGCAAAATGGGACGCTGGATTCCAATCATTTAATTAGAAAATATAACAGAATGGCTTCAAGTGATTGTGTCATAAACTGTATGTAGAATATTGTACTTTATAGTACAATATACTGTAAAAATGACAGAGGTACTTTGGTAAATGTGTGTTCAGAATGACTGATGGGTTCGTGGAATGGGTTAGGCATAAACTCCAAACTCAATTTTTAGTGATAGACAAAACAACAAATAATTAGGGATGTATGATGATATCGGCCACATTTGGTACATTTGCACACCTTCATATTTGCATTACTAGTGGCAAGTATGTATTAAAGAGAAAAAACAAGATTATAGAAAGTAGATTTGTTTTCCCTTTATATGTTTAGAAGCGATGAAATAAAAAAAATTCATGAATGAATTATTTGGAAGTACATTAGTGAGACTGGTTTAACAGTAAGAAAACGAGTAAAAAGGTAAGACGTATAGCCTTGGTAATCTGACAACCGCTACTGGAAGATTAAATTGGTTGCGATATCCCTTTTCACCACTAGATGTCACTGTATCACAACAGACTGTTTCTTCGAGACGTGGAGCAAAACTACTTCCTGAATATTTGTACCACGAGGTGGCGGAGACCGGAAGCAGGCCTCACCTCCCGTGTACAGTGTGGGCGGAGTAATAGGAATGTTTGAACACTGAGCAGTCGGGTGAGTAACGTGATATTCGTCACACAAAAAACCTCTGAGAAGCCAAGTTAGACACACGAAACACTTCCAAGTTGTCTCCTTTCAGAAACTTATATGTAGTTGATACCCTCAGCCATTATTTTAAGGAAAACATTATTTAGGTAGTTGTTTTACCACCGTCCTCGTCATGTCAAGCTCAGAAATGAATGAAACGATTTAAAAATGGCTAATGGCTAATATCTTAGCATTTGAATCGTTTTGCCCCCGATAAACTAACTAAAGCTGTTTTTGGTCAAAAGCCTAGCTGTTGAACTTTGTTATCTGAAACTGAAGTGTTTAAAAGCAAGTGAAGTGAAGTGTAACAAAATGTTCGATAATTCTGGTTGATTTTGATGGGGGCGGGGGGGATTAGAAATTTACGTTGTCATAGTGTTTAAGTAGTACGAAAATGTAGAAGTATAGCACGCCGATAAGCCAAGGACACATGTTGGATTGAAATGGAAGTTTAACTGTAAATCATGCAATGCCGATTTGTTGTTACTGGTTCCCTTTATGACCACACGAGGGCACTGTTGTTGTACAGTCTGAGAAAAGACGGATCGTAAAGTTTGTTCTCCCGTGTGTTGGTGATATGGATGCTTTACAGTGCTTTTCAGTTTTGCAGAATTATTCAAATTATTGTTAAATTATTTAACAAAATCGTTTCTTTGTCAGTATGTAATGTTCACTTAGGGATTAGCATTAGCAATGACACAACAGTTTTTTTTTGTATTCATTTCCTAGAATGACATTATCAGTCTCTTATAGAGTACGTAGATTTTGTATTCATTTCCTAGAATTATCAGTCTCTTATAGAGTACGTAGATTTATAGTTATAAAACGTTTTTGGACCTATATAAAATTATGACGATTTTATCATATCTATATGTTTGAAATTTGGCTGACTAATCTATTGTAAGATCTGAATTATCTGCATAAATAATATAAAAATTAAATTTATAAAATGTTAAAAGAAGGAGTTATGTATAATTTCGTATTACGTTTGACATTAAATAAAAACAAGACAATTATTTTTATAAATAAACAGGTTGATTTATTTTTTCAATAGACAGTCACTCAGTTTTCAGGTGTATAAATATAAAGTTTAACAAATTTTCCACAACAAACTGAAGCACATACAGGACAGAAACATTAAATACATAATTAATATTTTCAGTAGGAACAAATCAGCTCTTATTTACATCATATGTACAGAAACAGAAAAGTGGTCCTCCGCTGCAGTGAATGAAACATGACATTTAATTTAAAAACTCAACTTTCACTTTGACTTCCACAAACCTGATGGGGTAAAGAAAACAATCTTGTCATTTTTATGAAAAAGGTGGATTGTTACAGCATTCTGGTATATATATTTTTTAATGGCACTTTTATCATAGTTTTTGTCTTCCTGAGGACATTGAACGGCTGGGGCTTTTTAAAAAAACAGATGGATGAATGTGGAGGAATGTAAGTGGATGGTTTTTGGCCTCCGTCCTTTTTCAAATATACTACACACAGAGAGGGGGAAAACTCCATCTGAAGGACTCAGCTGAGCCTTTAAATACTTTTCATAAATACAAAAAACCAACTAACAATAAACACATATACAGCATGAACTGAACAGATTTCTAAGCAGTAGCATGTTTTAAGAAGTATTTGTTGTTGAACTGCTTCGTTGTAGATTTGGTTTTAAGGCTGGATTTGGTGAAAATGAGGGAATCTGAGGGTCACATATGCTCAACACTGATTGCACAATGAGATCGAAGGTCACAGCTTTGACCCTGTTTCTGTGTTGCTTTCAGTTTATGTATTTTTTGTATGGTTGCATTCAAATGCAAATTGACCAATTTCCAATTGCCATACGAAAGGAATAAAAACAATGTGGGAATATTTTCAGATTTTACTGCTGTTGAATTAAGACTGAATTAAGGTAGTCAGGAATAATCTTTTGTGCTGCGGTAAATCAGTGTGGTTATTCAGGGCCGAGTTACTCCTGGTCGTCGTCATCTACGAGTAATAAGTATTTCAGTTTATGCATGGTTTTTAAATGTTGGTAGTTGTTTCTTATTTCTTTCTTTTCGAAGAAATTTTCCATATGTTGAACCTCAGGGAATAAAAAAAAACAGGTGGAAGAAGGAAGCTATAAAACCTCAACAGCTGATGCAAACTTGGTTGTCAAGACTCAGTCCAGTGTCTGTGTGTGTGTGTGTGTGTATTTTCATGTGTATGTGGATTGTCCAAAGTCTGAGGGTTTATAGGACTTGGTAGATCAGACTGGGGTCCTGGGTAGCAGTGGGAGAAGGGATCTGGACTGATCCAGGGACAGCTGTCTCACCAGTGGGCTCTGTCGGTGGTGACCCCGGGCCGTCGGTGGTCGGCAGCAGGCTGCTGTTCTCTGTGGAGATCCGCTCCACAATGCTGGAGAGACAGTCCAGACTGGAGACCACCGAGCTCCTCTCACTTTTCTGGCCTCCTGTAAACGAGGACAACGTCAGAGTTATTATAAAAGCTACAGTTTAAATCACAAAAGTAACATGTTTGTCTCGAAAGCCTAAAAACATCTGAAGACTTAGCTCAGTGATTCGGCTGTTTATTTAGCAAAGCAATAGTTAAATAGAAATAGAAAATATCGTGGGGAAAATATCGATTTAAAAGAAAGTATTAACTCCGTGGTTTCACCTTAAACATTTTGTTGAGTTGTGATTTTAAATAAAATAAAATATTAACAATAATACCGGCGTTCTTACCGTTTGGAGTCTGGGAGAAATAAGAGCTGCTTTCGTAATTTCCTCTCCTCGTTGACTGACACGTCGGGCCGTTAAAGTCCGTCTGAATAAAAAGAAGGAAAAAAACATCATTGATTTAGAAAGGAACCATTTTAAAAAGTAATGTAATTTATATTTTTTATTTATATCAAACGAAAAATAATAACAGTCAATCTTATGTCAACGTCTTTCCTATAAATAATAATAAAAATAATTATTTGAACGATACATTTTTCGATCAACTATAACCATATCGTTTCTAAAATCGCGCTAATATAATATATACAAATATAGTTTAAATATTTTTCTCACGTTTATTTATTTATTTTTACTCAGTGAGTAAAACAAATGAATAAAATCTTAAATAAAAAACACTCGACGACATTAACTGACGCATAAAACGTTCAGATGTATTTGTCTAAAAGTTGATCTTTACGCACAAAAAAATTAGATTAAATTGTTTTTGATTTTTTTCCCCATGTCAGTAGAATATATTAAAAATAGTGATTATTATAAAATACAAACATAGAAACAGGATAAATGAGGGTCAAAAAGACACTCCACTCGGTGCCACCTGTCGGAGCCTGAACTCACCATGCCGTCGGAGCAGTTGGAGCGGGGGCTGGAGGCGTCAGAGTCCCCGCTGTAGTGCTCCAGCACCGGGTAGTATCCGTCCTCCTGACCGCCGCGCAGCAGCGCCTGCAGAGACTCGATGTAGCTGATGGCGTTGCGCAGGATCTCCACCTTGGGCAGCCGCTGGTTGGGGTTGGCGGTGGTACATCGCTTGAGCGTCTCGAAGGCGTCGTTGACCTTGCTCAGCCGCCGGCGCTCCCGCATCGTCGCCGCCTTCCGCCGGTCGGCGTTGGTGGTCTTTCTTTTGCAGGCCTTGCAGGCCCAGAGCAGACAGCGGCCCGCCTGGTGGTGCCCGCTGGGGGCGCGGACGTGCTCGTCGTCCTCCCCCTCACCATGGTGGTGGAGGTGGAGTAGGGAGGACGGGGAGGAAGACGAGGAAGAAGGAGACGGTGAGGATGAAGAGGAGGAGTCATCCGGCTTCAGGAGGCCCACATGGACCAGCCGCGGATCCAGGTCCTCAAAGAAGTGCATATCGCTGGTGTTGAAGCAGGGGTCGTCATAGAAATCATCAGGAGCCGGGATGGGGAAAGAGATATCCGACAGCTCCATGGTTCAGTCCTCAGCACAACCAAGAAGAAGAAGAAGAAGAAGGAGAAGAAGAAGAGAAAATCCACTGAAGGTCACACTGGAGGATCTTTAGTCTAAACCAAAAGGACGAGGAACAAGAAATGGTTCTAGGGACGTTTCAGTGTTTTTAGGGGAATGTAGAGTCCTGTCACTAACTTTTCTGTCCTCTGAGCTGCGGCCTGGATCCATTTATACCTGGGTCTTTGACCAAGGGCGGTTTTGGGGCCTCGATGCCCTCTGGTATCTGACCAATCAGTGGTCGGTGGGAGGAGTTTACAACTTCATGGTAATTAGTGTACAATTACCCCTAACAGAGCAGTAACAGCGGGATAATATACTGCTGCCGCTCACAGTGGGCAGGAAAACACAGGAGGGACATAAAAACATACAATACAATAATCACAACACAGTAACTGCAATTAATGACTTTCAGGGGTTTTTTTTATGAATAGTTTTCCTATTTGTTAATGGGCTTAATAATAATAGTTTTGTTAATTTGTATTGACCATCTTTTGAAAATTTGTATTTGGAGTAAAAAAAAGTACATTTTTTTTACAAATTTAATTCAGCGTAATTTTGACGAAATCAAGATCAATTTTAAAACGTAACATTCTTACTTTACGTTTTTAATTGTATATTTTGTACCGATGTTAAAATAGGAATTCCTAAATCCTTAAGTGATTTTTTTAATGACACATGGATGTTTGGTATGTTTATGTAAAAACAATTTATTTTTACTATACATATACTGCTATTTTCATATAGCGGTATATGTATAGTAATATACTGCTATTTTATCTTGCTTAAAATATGCAAGATACTTTAAGCGCACCTTAAAATATCACATAAAAAATGTAACATTATAACAGAATAGAATAGTCTTTATTGTCATCGTTACACGGGGGTACAACGAAATTAACACACAAATCTAAGCTATTTATAAAGTCGATCTTATAGGGCTTTAAATCATATAGTTTTGTGAGTTTATCTCATTGATCCAGAACCTTCTCGCATGTGAACTATCTAGGTATAGAGGCCTTTTGTTGATTCTTAGAAGTCCGACATATCCATACAGCCTCCGTGTCCGACGCTCAGGTTTCACGTCTTTGCAGAGACCAGTGCCATTTTTAAAGAGCGTTAATACTGGAAGTGTGAACCTGTAAGAATAAGCTTTAATGTCACTGACATCATGTTTAGAAACGCATATTTCTGTCTTTGTATTCGCTGCACGTTCATCACCAACTCTGGAGTTTTCCATTGCGGTGCTGTAGCGCTGTTGTGCAGCTGGAGGGCGCTGTAGAGCAGACCCTGAATCACACTGTTGACCTGCTGCACCTTCATATGCGGCACAGAAGCCACTGGGCCAGAGCTGTGCCAGTGTGCAGTGACAGATGGTCAGGAGCAGAACTCCGAGGATGTCAGACCAAGTATTCAAACCCTCCACTCCTAGGATTATCACTATCTTCAAATGATTGACAGGTCTTTCAACTGCGCATGCAGGGAATGACCCTGACAACTAAATAAAAGTTGTTAATGTTTGGTGCTGCTAATGTGCAGTTCTTAGTGGACATACCTTGAAATGGGAATTGGGACGGAAGTATCGTTATTGTATTGATTTCCTTTAGAAATGCAATTATTCAATATAATGAAGACAAAACATTGTCATTAATTAGTGATGTAGTAATAATGATACATTCATCCACAGTGAGGCTGCTCTCTGCTTGATTTTTTTTTCTCTGTTTTTAATTCTTTGCATATGTCGAGATGCTTCTGTAGTTTTTATCAGTGGTAGATGGATGCTGTAGGTGGCGGTATTGGTACTCAAAGTCTGCAGGCTGCTAATTAAACCCAATGAGTTAAAGAGCGTGGTTAGTTCATGGTCGGGGTGTTTGAGGAGACTGGCTAGAGTACGTTTTTGATCTCTTTTTGGGGGAAGTGGAAATACAGATGTCTTTGAAGAAGAAGCAGGATTCAAATTGTGTCATCAATACTGCAGTAGTCGTGCCAGTGTTAAGCAGTGCTATGTCTGTCTAATCAGGTGGCTTTCTAATTCATTTCTCATTTTCAGTAGACAATCCTGACATTACCAAATCATTTCTTCAACAATCGACTGAGTGATGACATATATTACTACATTTTTAAAATGTACAGTGACTATATCAAATAATACCTTTAGTGACAATGTTAATAAAAAACTAGAAGAGTAGCAGAAAATATTTTTGAGTATTTTATTGTTAGAAATGTCAGTATAGTGAACGACAAAGTCAAAACTGAGTAAAAAGTTTACTAAACCAAAAAGATAGTCAAATGTTTTGGTTTTGAACATTTCTCTTGATAAAAACATATAAAAACAGAGACAGAACATTACCAAAACAATCACGACTAAGACACATTGTGCTACAAACTTCTTGCTGTCATACTTGGTTCTTAGCTAAACCAAGATAACTCTGGTTGTATATTTTAATTTGCTTGTGGAGTATGTCTACATTCAGTCATTACATACTACTTGAATCGAACTAGGACAGTATTGGAGAGAGAGTTTTGTCTTTCACATTTGATGTGTGTCTGGAGGTTGGTAGTTGTCAACGTCATTTTCAGCTTTGGAAATGAAGAAGTGGAGATTCTTAAAGATGTTTCACTGCTTGTGTCCAGATGCTGCTTCAAAAAATATAGAGCATATATTTAAAAATACTCAGTGGGAGAGTTCCTCCTGCAGTTCATTCAGGATGTATTCCCCAAACGCCCCCTTCTGGTCCATGGTGCAGCCGACCCGGCGAGCACTGGTGAGAAGGTCACCCAAAAGTTTGAGCCGATCTACCCGCCGTGCCAGTAGGTGGCCCTTCACGACTTCCCCTCACAGTGACAGGGTCTCCGTGCTCACGGGCTAGCTGGCTTAGCTCCACCAACGCACCGATCTCCTCCTTCAGTTGGAGCTGCAGCAGCTCCAGAGCTGGTAACACAGCCTGAATCATCTCACAGCCTGGACGCTGAACAAAGATGGGAGAAAAAAGTCAAACCAGAGGCGTACAGTAATTATATCTATTTAGAGCAGGACGTTTTAGATTTGTCAGTGGGAATGTGTCTGGCAGTGAAGGTTCTTTGAAGCAGTTTTCACTCCGAGTCTTACTTCTCTAATGGTTCTTGGATAGTGGGCTGAGTCAACAACAGATTGTGGTCCTCAACAATCCATTGCGATTGCGATTTACATGTGATTTCCTTGAAATGATTTGAAGCACAGCCTCCGTCTACTTGATTTGAGGTTCAGAGGTTTTGTGGTCCACCGGCACAGTATGGATGGATAACAAGGTGTCCCAAAATGCTGCTGACTGGGCCTTTGTTTCAGTCCTCAAACAATTTAACACGAGTCATAAACCTGGGGTGGTGGTCGAAGGCCACGCTGCGTCACGCCAGTGCCACCGCCGGTGTTTTCTGACCATCTGGAACTGCCATCAGCACCGCCGTCTTTCTGCCACGGCAGTAATCTCACCAATTTTACGGAACTATAGGAGGAAACTTACACCCTGACCAGCTCACGACCAGAGGACCAGAGCTCTCCAGGGGTTTAACCTCGCTCCCTACCTCAGTCATTCTTTTCTGGCCCTGCACTCCATCCTACGCTGACCAAAACGAAGTGCTTCATGAAGAGATCTCTGCCATTGGTGAAAAAGGAGATCCGCAGATAGAGAAAGAGACACCTGCTCTGACAAAATGACAAATAGCACAGCGGGAAAAATAAATCTCTGCGATGGGACGTTTAGAGTGGAACATGAGGTTGATGGTGGAGTAAAACGAGAAGGCAGTTATAGACTGAGGCTTCTCTGTCTCACAGATAATGTTCAAATCATAAATTAAGACTCAAAATGGATCCACAAATCAGCTCTTCACACCATATCAACTAAATGTCTCTCTGGGGGCCACCCCCACTCTGCTGAAGTGTCTCTGGACAACAGATGCTCTTGACCCTGACCTCCGACTAACCTCTGTGGGTTTGTGTAAAAAGACACGAGGAGATTGTACCGTGGACTCGTGCTCATAGGTAATACATACATTATTTACTGTGTAATACATAGGTAATACATACATTATTTACTGTTGTAGGTAATTTGCACCAAATACATCTTCCACCAGTGTCAACATAAAAAGTGAGTGCCAAAAATGTTGACACTTTGAGCGTCTCCAAGTCAAATTTAAATAATCAGTCTCTTTCATTGGGAAACTGATCTGGCACTTTTTACCTTAATGTCTTTGCCGCAGTACCGACCTCCTCTCTCAGTGAGATAATGTAGCAAGGACTCAATCTCGGCCTGCTGCTTCACCATCTCCTGGTGGAAGAAAGCTGCAACGTGGGGCAAAGGGGCATCATCCTTCTCGAAAACACTGGCCTGTAGGAGATTTAAGAACATTTAGAACGTTGACAGAGCCATGTTTACTGTATACTGTGTTCAGCTTCTTCACTGTAAACACCTACATACAGGAGTAATCAGATATTTGCTCTATTATTTGGCCACTGGTAAAACTATTATTTAATATCAGCTAAAGATAAATGTCTGGGTTTTTCATTTGTGCATTTCAGTCCCAACTTTATTTACGCTTGTTCTTGTTTATTTACGACTTAATTCTCATAAACCTATAACTTTATACTCGTTATTTGGGCTTTTATTGTACTATTACATCATCTTTAAAAGATTATGCCATTAACGACTTTATTCCCCTGAACTCCGTACATTTTGCTAATTGACATTTCCTTTACTTAATGTGGTTCTAGTACTGCGTCATAGCCTTTAGTACATCGTTGTTGTTGTTGTTTTGTTTTTTTTTGTTGTTGTTGTTGTTGTTTTTTTAATAAGTACGCGCAGCAACAGGTCGAGTGTTGTCGTCTATGGTTTCCTACCAGAGCCTGCAGTCTGTACGCTCCGTCCCACAGCAGGCTGCTGACGCCGCACAGAGCCTCCTCCACGGCAGTCGGCAGGTTGTGCTTGGCCCGGCTGCTGACCGCGGAACTGGGGTGAGCTCTGCACACAAACAGGCTACTCTTCAGCCTCTTTGTAGCGGGCTCTGCCATGTCACCGGCCGCAGACTTACCTTCAACTTACTGTAACTTACTGTAACCGAAGTAAAAACACAAACTTACAACAGATAGAAAAATAAAAAGCCCAAATTATTAATCCCTATCTTCACTCAAATAATACAATTTAAAAATAATTATAATTAGCTCATTTGGTCATTAGTTGCCCCCCCCCCCTCCTGTCTTGTGATGACCCCCTCCCCTCCCTCCTGTTCATCCTCATCTCCTGCTTCAAGTTAGATCCTCTGGGCATGATGACTGACGGGAGGGGATGGTTGCACCATGGGAGTCGACTAGTCCACAGCGGAAGAAAGGCTGACTGTAACCCTTGACACCACCCTCACCCCTCAGCATGTCACTTCAGTAATCACCTGGGCCGAACCTCAGTATAACTGATGGAGCCTCGCTGCAGGAGGTCGTTCACCTTCCACCAGGTGACGCTCTACTGCAGGAGGCCCAGAAGAAGGACCGGATACTGTAGCGTCCATCTGTCCTCTTTCTCTGTTGTTGCCATTGATTTATCCACTAAATCAGTCTGCTGTGGTTCAACTTCCTGTGAGTGAAGCAGATGCTGTGTGTATATAAAAATGTAATTTTACTCTTTTTTCTCTGATAAGTTAGAGGGTAGCTGTGAATTATTGAGAAGAAAATCAACATTTCTAAAAATGACCAATAAAACATTTTTTGTACATAACAACAGGAAGACAAATTGTTAACACCTGTTTTATTTGACTTATCCAAATTATGGAATTATTAATATTGAAAATATGCAAATTTGCAAAAGTATAACTTAAAATTGCACTTCGTAGAGTTGGTGGCAAAATATGCAAATGTATAATTTAAAATTGCACTTCGTAGAGTTGGTGGATTATTGGCATTTCTGTGCATTTTGACAGTAGTTTAAAGGGTGCGTGGAGAGTTTGTTTTCTTACTGTTGACACATACGTTATTGGTCGGTAATGTGCCTACAGTTTGTCTGGCAGCTGCAAAGAAACATGCACAGGATGCATTGAGTGATGTCAGTACAGCGGAGAGTTTAATGAGCAGTGGTGGAAGATATGACTTTGTTATTGGCTTGTTGGGCGGAAAGTGTTTATTTTTTTTGAAATTGGCAGTTTGGATAAGAGCATGGTTGTGTGTAAATTGGGCAATATAGTCTTCAAGCTTACGGTGCAAAATTCACAACATGTTCCTCTGAGCATAGATATATTTACATTTATGCATTTAGCAGCCACCTTTATCCAAAGCAGCTTAGAAGAAGAGGATCAACATTCAAGCCAGATAGATGAACTCTTTGAAGGAGTCTGCTGGTTAGAAAAGTGGGATCCATTAGGTACACAATGGATAACGTTAGCTACGACTGTTCTGATACCGGCGAAAGTCTGCCCACAATAGACTAAAAGTACTAAATAGTTTCAAATTTTACTATATGACAAATGTGATTAATCCCATTTATCACACGTGTTAAATATATGTCTCCATGTACTAAATTAAGCTTGCACACACACACAGTACTTTTTAACAAAATGGGCAAAATGACAGCAGAGGTGTCAGGCTTCACACCTGCTGCCTGCTGTAAACCACCAACACTACAACGACTACATTGTCCTTCCCTGGTGGCAGATTACTTTACACACACACACACTCACACACACACAGAGAGAGAGAGGTGGATTAGCTTTGAGAAGCAGATTTACTGCTGTGCAGACAGTTGTGTAGTTTGTTGTGTTTGTAGACTGAAGACAGAGTCAAGAAAGAACAAAGTAAACAGAGCAGTGTCTGTGTGTGTGCTGAGATGGTGACAGTCATGCTGTGTGCTCCTGTCTGTGGGATTTCATGTCTTCAAAGTTACAGTAACAAAAATGTAAATTTCTGGAGAACATTATTTACACCAAGAAGTATATTAAGAAGTGATAATAAAATTATAATAGAAATGGGCAAAGATCTTCATTGTGATTTGAAAACATAAGATTTGTCTTTTTTTCATTTGAAGTAAAAGATTATTTATGCTATTAGAATTGTAGGACATCAACTTTTGAAGTGGAAACTCCTTTTCTTTGTTATGTTGGACCTAAACTGCTCCACCGTGTTCGTGTTGAGCAGCTGGTCTTCTGTCAGCGAGTGTTATGACTGTAGAGACGGGAGTGGAATATTCAGCTGATAGTTTTCTGAATATTGTTACATTCCAGGGAAGGATTTAATTACAACATGGAAACCTTTTTTTAATATAAATATCACTGTGCATATTTTATTTTTTACAATTTACATCCTAGTATTCTGTAACATAATGATACATACCACACATTGGTTTTCTGGTTTTCTTCATAGTTGCAACAGTATGTGGTATTTGACCTCGTACAATATGGTGCAGTACCTTTACTGCTCAAACTGGGAAAAGCTGAATCTGATGTCCGTTCATCTGATGTCTGTTCCGGAGATCCCAGCGGACTTAAGTATGCCGCCTCTCATTTTGAATTCCTGTCTCTCATCACATGACCCAGCTTATAAATATGTCCCTGCTTTGGACTCATGTCAGGCCTCATGTCCTCATGCTTCAGACAGAACAGCTGTCCCACTAAACGGAACAAAAACATATCCGTCTGACTCCTGCAGGGAAACAAAGACTCTGCGACTACACACAGCTCGAACATCAACAGTGACTTCCCAACATGGTTAACGCTGGCCTGAAAGATGCTAACTTTTGATAAAGGATATCGAACTGCAAGATCGTGAGGCTAAATTGACTTGAGCTTAGGCTAAAATTTGTCTCAAGTTGATGTTTTTCTTATATGATTTTTTTTTTATTCTGAGAAACTCTGTGGAGACCCAACAAATACAAACTACTTTTCATAATGAATGATTGAGTTTCTGTTGTTGCCTTACATTTTGTATTTCTTGAACAGTGATGCAACAACAATGGTGTCACTGTGGCTGTTTTCAGATTTGTTTCTATGTTAGTCATTAAAGAAACTCAAATATAATGTATGTTATAACAAAACAAGATAAATCTGTAGTGGTTTGAACCATTAGCACAGTTAGCTAAGCATTCAGTGTTGGCTACATTCAACTTCATCACCCATCTATGCTAGAGCAAAACTATTAATACTAATGATTATTTATTTTTATTACCAGTGAAACAACTACCAAAGTAAACTAACCTGTAGAAATGATAAATGATGCTTTTCCATTGTTTACATTTTTTTATAATCATCCATCCAGGTTCACTTGTTTTATGGCCTGGGAAACTTGTATGTTTTGTGTCAAAACTAGATCTTGCTTATTCTAAATTAAATCTCTTCGATTTCTCTTTCCAGACACGATAAGTGAGCAGAGATGGCAGTGGATCAGACTGCATCGGGTCACAGCTGTCAAACAGATCAGCAGGACGTCTCTTTACAACGGGCTAACAGCTGTCGACGAAGAATCCTCTGGACCGTCATCAGCTAAAAACTTCAGCTCACAACTCTCCTCATTACGGCACTAATAGGAGAGAAGACAGAGATAAGGTAAATACAATTACTACTCACATCATGGGACATCTGAGCCTTTACCGACACACTCATAGCATTTAATCGGCTTTTAATATAGACAGAGTTAAGAACCATTTTTCTGGACAAACAAACCCAAGCCTTTTGAGCAATGTTGTTTCACTCCGGTGTGGGAGGAAAGTGAGTGCCAGCTTGGTTTCCTTAGATCCCTGCAGTCTCCCTTCTTCCCCCTTGGATCGTTTTTGTGCCAGACACTGTGATTAGCCAGAGAGTTTCTGGAATGCCCCGTCCTCATTAAAGGGACAAATATAGCCCGGTGTGGTCCAGTTAGGAACGGAGGGTAAATGGATGCCACAGTATTATGTGGCATAAATTAAACAATGATGACTGATGAGTGATCAAGTGTTCAAAACATGGCTGGAAAAAACATCTTTTACATTGGGGAAATACAAAAGAAATACAAAAGAAATGTCTAGATTTTTACATATATTTTATATCAGAAATAGCTTTTTCGTATTGGGCGTCTGTGGAGCCTTGTGTACAGTGTGTGTGGTGCAGGTACAAAGTTAGGTGGAGCTTTATCAGAGATCCTGTTTGTCTGGGGGGTGGGGGTGTGAGGAAGTGATACGGACACAAAAATAGTGTTGCATTGGTGTCTTATTAAATGTTCTTCGGTGGTCTGAATGCCAAGGTGACAAAACTGGCTGACACAACTAAAGTTAGAAGCAATCCAGAAAGAGCTGAGCTGACCAGGAAAAAAAAAACTGTTGCTAAAAATCCACCGGCATCAAAGTGCATTTTAGAGGTTAGGGATACCAGCCAGGAAGTGTCAGGTTCAGTGCAATGTTTCACCACACGGTGGAAATACTGATGTTGACATATGATGATAGATAGCATGACCACACTGACCAGAATGCCCCAGAATTTTGTAATGTATTCTAGAAACTATTGGAAAGTTCTAGAAGACACGTTGTCTTTCTCGTCAATTGAGCTCAAACAGGTGAATGTAAATCTCCAGTCCCATCACTTATTGTCTATGACTACGAAAGGATTTTTAAGAATGTCACCTTATCAAAGATTTGTGTGTGATTGGATGACTCTTAGAAGATAGGAGCTGCTGTGGAGGCCCACAGAAAACTGTGTTGCACAGACTAGCAGTAGCAGCTTAGCCTCTGAGCGGACTAACAACTACATTTTACAGGAAAAACAACACTTATTTAACTGCAGAACTATATTTTTAAAACATAAGGTTGAAGTATAAAATATATTAATTATAATTTAGATTTTGAATAGTGATTTGTATTTTTAAAACGTAAGGTTGAAGTATAAAATATATTAAGTATAATTTAGATTTTGAATAGTGATTTACTACTTACTTCTTAAAAATACTTATTAGTCACAGACGTGTGCTGTTACCTAAAAGCTCTTCAGTGAATATTTGCTAAACTGTTTTTGTCTTCTGGTTCTTTAAGCAGTAGTTTTTTAATAAAGTTATGAGAAATAGTTTTTCATA